GGTTTCTGGATCCCTCAGATTCCCTCAGGACGACGCTATCTGCCTAGCTGTCCGCACGGGGTCTCATTTTTCGAATGCCAAAGCTCTCTGACAAGAAATCTGGCGAGCGCTTGTCGGGAGGTGTAGCCTCCGAAAGCTTCTGGCAAGCTGTGGCTCGATCGCCCCATTGGAAACCCAGCCTTGGTTGGCTCCTCGATGGTCTTCCCGGGCAAACCCTGGAGACGATAATTCAGATCCTCAGTCAGTTGCTCCGGTCTATTGCAGACTCGTCGTGCCAGCAAGGAGCCAAGTCACGCCCAAGACGATGAAAAGCGAGTGCTGGCCATCCTCAACACATTTGCCGATCTGCGCCTGAGAGGCAGCGGTGCGTAGCTGCAATCATGCCCACGCCTATCTGAGGTGCCGGCAAACGTCGCATCTCGGGCCTGCACATTCAGAGGGAGGGGCTCCGGGTGAGCATTGACCCTCAATCCCCATAGGTCAAGTAAGAAGCTTGCCATGCCTGGTCTCCCAACCGCGCTTAAAGGTCCATGGGACTTCGCAACTAAGGTTATGATGACGGTAACCATGACATCTTAAGAGCAGTTATAATCTCAGTTAGGGTCTTGCAACTGTGTCGAATTCAGGCTTGCAGTTCCGAAGACACGACCGAGATCGGTCCCTCCTTGAAGATCTGTTGCTGGAAGCTTCTTCACCCCCCAGCTCTCCGCTGTCGCTATGTCATCAGAATCAGCATACGTCCGGGCCTCGGTGTTGCCGTGGCCAGCCTTGCAGCGGAAAGCGGCAACGGGCGACAGTGTGCAAAGCCACTGCTAGGCTCAAGCGGCGCGGCAGACTCGAGAATTGCAGGCCTCCAAGTGCGCGTTGGCAATGCAGAGGCCAATGCCCTGCCTGCACTCGCTTTGTCTCGCGTGCACTCCCACTCGGAGTCGCGTGAGTGGCGGCGCGGTGCCTGGGGCACTCCAGAGCAATACAGCCTTTGGAGCAGACCTCGGCTGAGAGCGCTCAAAAGAGACTTCAGAGCCCATCCATGCCCTGCCCTTGCCATGCCATGCCATGCCATGCCATGTGCCCATGTGCGCCTTCTTGTCATCGAAGGTGAAGGGCAATGACAAAACCTGTTGGAAAATTCCCAGAAGAGACACCGCACGGAGCTTTACATAAAGCCGGTTGCCTGGTTGCTCTGCGGAGCCGAGCCCGCCCGTTCGAAGACGAGCAGCGGCAGGTAGGAGCCGCAATGCTCCGAGGCCAGCACCTGCCCAGAGCTTTCGGCACTTTCACTCTGCAGGGAGAGCGCGGCTCTTTCGAGATTGCCTCCCAAGGTGCTTCTTGGTCATCCCCTGCACGGAGCACCTGCGTGGATCTGACTTCGTGTGTTCGGGAGCCAGTCATTTCAGATCATGTCACGATCCAGTCAAGAGCTTGGATCCCTGGATTCAAGTAGGGTCTGCGGGCAGGCAGGCACAAACGGCTCATTATTCTGGCGCATGTGCACTGACAAGCACGTGCACACGAAGATGTCGTGGAAGCCAAGACCACGACTGGCCGATCTCACGCAGTGAGGCAGAGACTACATTCGGCTACATGCTGCGAGCATGCAGTCGACGCGCTGGCTGCTGCGTGTACTATATGTATGTGTGCAGGAATAATGTTCCGGTTGCAGGCTGTCCTCTCCGGGATGCTGCAGCAGCCTCTGATTGGACCGGTCGTTCAAGCATCTCTCCACACTCGTCACCTCGAGGACTCGGTCCCGGAGTGGCGCCAGATGATCCGGATGCAACTCCTGAACATCGCAGCTTCGAGTGACAGAGTAATCAGTAGTCATTCAACATGACCGAGGACTTCTCAGATCTTCTCAGAAGTATGTGGGTATGATCGATAACCAAACTATATAAGTTCATATAAGGCATCGGCAGTCTGATGGGCATACCAGCACCCATTGAATGATGTGGCGCAGCCAGAACAACAACAGCAAAGACAACGAAACGACCCGAACTGCTGTCTGGGCATGAGTGCTGACAGTCTCTCTATCTATCGCTTGCTTGCGGGCTTCCTTGCTTGCTCGGGGTGTGGAGGTCCCGGGGCTGGCCCTGCTGAAGCCGCCGACCCCTGTGCTCTCCATCCCAGCCGCGCTGGAGGCTGCGGTTTTCCGGTTGCTTACAGCTCTCCCACGCGTGCCATACATCGAATACCATCGGAATCCATTGGATAAACCTCTCTTCTTTTTCGCTCCTAGGCAAGGGGGCAGGTCAAACCTCGCGTGCACTGGCACAGCCACGTCGGGTTGCTAGCGCCTTTCCGTTGCCACACCCATCGAGACAAATACCTGAGGCTTCAGCTGCGCTCTGGTCAGCTGGCAACCGCGTTGCACGAAGACGACGCCTCTGTCTATCTCTGTCTCTCTCTCCGTCCCTTTCTTGCTTGCCTGCACTCGGACAAGGAGCCCGAGCTCCCGCGCCCGCACACCGGTCTGAAGTACGTCTGTGACACTGCTCGGCTTGGACTGAGGTCCCGGTTTGCACTGTCTGTTGTAACCCCCAACCCTGAACACTACCTATGAACCAACAGGCCTCATCCAGTTGGCCCGTCCCTCTCTTTTTTTCTTTCTGCCGGGCTTAGGGGTCACGTCGTGACCCGCAGGCACTTGGCCCGCCCGACAGCTTTTGGTTTTATTAAGTCCCTGGCTTGCACACAGCCAAGGAAGGGACAGCATAACCCCTCGCGCCCGCCATTAACTCCCTCTCTCTCGCTCTCTCTCTCTCTCTCTCTCTCTCTCTCTCTCTCTCTCTCTCTCTCTCTCTCTCTCTCTCTCTCTCTCTCTCTCTCTCTCTCTCTCTCCTGCTCTTGCGTCATTATCGCAGGACAAGACCCGGCCGTCATCCTGAAGCCCCAGAGCCACCAAAGATGCCCGTGTCCCACGGCAAAGCTCGGCCAGCCAAAGGAAGGCATCTCACGGGAGGACGTAAACTTCTCATCCAGGACCCAGGACTCCCAGCGCCCACTAACACAAAAGCCGGGCTTCGCCTGCACCCGGCAAAGCAGCGGTCTGCTTTTTGCAGCCCAGGTTCCTGGGAAAAGACTTACGTCCAACTAAAGTTCGGCGACGATATGTGCCAGGCAGAGGCACGCGACATATGGCTTTTTGCGGCTCATGCTTGTGCGACCGACTCTTCCGCCGCAGTGCCAAATGTGGACTATTTATTTGATCTGCGTACTAGACTCTCATGCAGGTGGGGGATAGCAATCCGGCAGACTCCAGCTCAGCGACTACAACTTGCTTCGGTGTATGAACATTTCCAGGGCACCAGGTGCAGGCGACGATCGTGACGGAAGCCATAGCTCAAAAAAGCAACATGGCTTTTGGCCAGCCCTCGTGTCGCACATGGCATGTAGGCGGGTCTCCCAGAGAGGAGATTGATCTTGTCTGACTTGCTTCGAAGCGTTTGTCAATGTGTGCCCAGTTTGTCAACGTCTTGAATGCCATGCATGTTCTGGCCAAGCAGCGAAATGAGCGTTCTCTCTCACCGAAGACAGCACTATCAGAGCCGCTGCTGCACGGCATGGCAGTGCATCAGGTCCTTCAGTAGCGAATGCACTCCTTCCACACTTGCTAAGAGCGTTGAGCACGGACATGTGCACGCCTTTTGATGCTGAAGCCAGCCTGATCCTAAAAATCCATATGGCACATGGTTTCATGTCCAGATGTAGCCATGGTGACCAGCGTTGGAACAGCTGCGGCTGGCTGCTGAAGGGTGAAGCTCATGTGTCTGAACGGATCATCGACGGATCACTGGCAGGCAGGGCCGTTCGCAACTGTTGGCTGACCAATGGTCTTTGAATCGGAATCAGGCAAGCGAGGTTGGGTCGAGTGGCTGCAAAGACCGATGAATCCTCCTGCAAACCCAGGCTGAAGCGTACCACATGTGCTTGGCCCCAACCTCTTTGGGCTCTGCGGCCGAACGCCGCCAAGCGCCCTCACGTCCTCGCCAGCCAGGGGCCGCCGAGGCGCTTCTTGTGCTCTCTGCAACTCAGGCATCTGGGGTCTGCATTTGTGTTTGGGCATTGGCCATGTTTGCGGGGGCCAGCTGGTTGCCGACTGTTCAGCTCACTTTGGAGCCATGACAACACGCAAATCTTCGAGCATGGTGTCACGATCAGACCATCGGCCTGCCGGTGGCACCACGATGACAGGTTCCGATTTCACTCGGAAACTAAAATCGGCCGATCTCAGCTTCAGGAGACGACCCGACGATGCCGGCCAAGCGTGTGCATGAAGCTCGTTTGTCCTACCCAGAGACCGTAGATTCCCTGTTTGCAAGCGGACCGAATGGCACGGAGGAGAAGCGTTTAGCAGCTTCTTTTCTGGAAGGGAAATACAGTAAGATCACTTTTCGCGATCTACTGCTGCAAGAACGTGAGTGCAGCATCTGAGATGGTCTTAGGAAGAGCTGCATGCCTCCTGCACCCCTGCTTTCACCACCGGACTAGTCAGGCATCTGATCAGAGGTTTGCGGCTCCACCTCTATACCACTCATCTCACTTTGCCGTCGCAAGGCTTGGAGAACCTGAAGGGAACGAGAGTGGTCTGGAGCTACTACAGTGCAGCCACCGCAGAGGGTGTGGGTGGTCAGGACTGGTGCGTTCTACAATATCTTACCGAATTATTGGGCGGTGGGCAAGCGTGTCTACTCTGACTGGAAGCCCTAGAATTTGCTTGCTTTCGGGTGTGGGCCTGCAGGCTGGGATGGCAAGACTTGCCTTGCTGCACATCCGGCACTGTGGCTAGTGACGGCTAGCGCGTTGGAAGCAGTGGGCGAAGTGAAATTGACTATTATGGTAAGACAGGTGAAGAAGCGTCGAACCAGAACTGCTGTGATTTCTCATGGGTGTCACATGAGCACTTGGCGAAAGCAGAGCTAACATCTCATAGGGTTCGTCCAGCGTCTGCGACCCTTGGAATCACTGCGGGGAACCCAGGATCTGCTGTCGGAGCGCACTTACTATCCGGCTAATGTGCACTCGCCGTGGCTGTCCAAGTTGCGTTCCATAGGTGCATTCGACCTCATTTTCTTTGCCTCGGTGCTGTGGGGTAAAGGCCCAGGTGCCAAGAAAGACGCTGATGCCAGTGCCATCACCACGAAAACCGTTGACAGGCTTGGGCTGAGCCGATTGAGGCCGCAGCTGTGACGGTTCTTCGTCCACGACCCGGGCTTTGAGACTTGTCGTTACGATCCTGGAACAAGCTGGGACAGAATGCATATCTACAAGCGGTGAATCCACTAGCTCGCCCTGACATCGAACAACACACAACAAAACGTGTGGCACCAAGAGCCCCAGGATGCCCCATGAACTAAGTCGGAGCCGAATCACGAAGTTCGCATGCCCTTTGCGGCGTTCCAGCTTCGATCGTCGCAACCTGAGCTCCGAAGCTTCGAGGAGCTTAAAGCTCCGTCGGCTCCGTCGGCTCTGAGGCCGAAGCCCCTGCAGCTCGATCTCGAAGACCAGGACCACGTCCCTCCCTGAGAAAGGAGCGGAGCATAGCAGAGCCGCGCACAAAGCGGAGCGGAATGCGCGGAAGCCAGGAAGAGTCGCCGGCCTCGGGTCCCCGGTCCCTCGAGGGGTAGTCGAACCTGCAAACCGTTCGAGCAACAGCGGAGGCTGAGCCAACATCGACACGTTCGGGCTTCCGCAGAACCGACGAGGCAGAGCCAAGGATGCCGCTTCAAACCAACTGCGCCATGTCTACCCCAACTTCGAACGTCGGACGCTGCCTGAAGGATGTTCTCGTCTTGGTTTTCGACCTGTCACAGCAGGCCGCATGTGCTACGAGATTGCACGCCAGCGCCATTCAAGTCCTAAGTAGTGAGCCAGCAAGGGTGGTGGAATGCCGAGTTTCTGACAAGAATGGGAATAAGCGCAAAACTCGAAGGCAAGGTTTGCCATGATGAAATGATCTATGAGTACCCCTTCCTGGATGGAATGAAGCCTGTCCACACACTCGGAGCCCAAGGTCCAATTCGGGTCAGTTTGCATGATCGAGCACGACGGGCTGGGACGTTGACTGAAGTTCACCAGTTGGAAAACTCGGAAAGATGTGATGTTGCGCAAGAACCTGATTTTCGATCCATATAATCGACAACCCTGCCACCTCCTGTAAGTCGACGCTCACCTTTCCTGAGCTGCGGCAAACTGCATCTGTGCATACATACTTAATCGCTGCGCGCTACTTGTACATGCTGGAGCAGTGTTTCTTAAACACACGACCGCGGCCCAGCTGCATCGCAGAAAAAGCCGCCTTGAATCTAGCAGCTTTGCCACTGATGCAAGCTAAGGCACCAAGGGAAGTTTTATCCTCTTTGGAGACCTCGACGCTGACGACACCGCCTTCGCCAAATGCGTCCAACTTGCCACGACGGGAACATGAAACTCCTTTACCTTTTGTCCTTTGTCGCTTTCTGTCACTCTTTATCCCTTCTTATCGATGCCTGGTTTCATGCGACAACATCGCCGGGTGTGCCTGGATATTCGAGCAGCCTGTGGAAAGCCTGATACCAGACCTGTGACAGCGAGGACATCAGCTTCGACTTCGCTTTGAGACGGTGGCTTCTCACCCTGAAGTGCACAAATGCATTGGGCTCCCACCACTTGCAGGCTTCGCTGCATCTCCACGAGCAGCTTGACCTGACCCTCTGGGAGGCCTCATGAGCAAGGGCGGCGCAAACACTCCAGACTCGCCACAAGTGAACCCGACACAAGACTGGGGCCTGCAATCTTGGCGATCTCATCGTAAGGCATCTTCTTCTCCTCGGAATCGATTTAATCAACACGGAAACTATTTGCATTCTCTGAAGCTCGCAGGAGTGCGCAGGAAGGAATCTTTACAGGCATTCAAAAAGCATCCTTAGACTCCGGCAACGGCCAGGCGCTCGATCATCAGCTGAGAGTGTGTGCTGACGTTGTGGAGGAAGCTGCCTCTGGAAGAAACAGATACGAAAGCAAACCTTCGAGCGCCAGTGCAAAACGCAAGTCCGGAAGTTCGGCTCGCCAGTTCGCAAAAAAAACCGACATCGATACTGCGGGCGTCCAGACCTCCACCCTTGAAAAATTTGTCGCGCTGTCGCTTGAACCCAAACCCTGAAAAAACTGCCGCAACCCTGTTTGTGCCTTTCGGATTGGTCTGCGAGGCCCCCCAGGCACGGGCCTGGCGCACAGACGGCACAAACAAAAAGGAGAGACGGAGCCATCTTTCATTAATCTAGACTCGCATTTTGTATGTATTGTTTTCATAATCTAGACACGTATATTGTATATACTGTGTGTATACATACATACATACATACAACCATACATACATACATACATACATATATATATATATATCAATTTATATATATATATATATATATATATATATATATATATATCAATATATATATATATATACATATAATTATATATATATATATATATATCAATATCAATATCAATATCAATATCAATATCAATATCAATATCAATATCAGTATCAATATCAGTATCAATATCAATACCAATATCAATATCAATATCAATATCAATATCAATATCAATATCAATATCAATATATATATATATATATATATATATATATATATTGTACTATATAGTTATATACAACTAACATATACATCACATATATGTTACATATGATATGTACTGCAGTACACATTGGACATCTGGGACTTCCATATGGCCGCCTTCTTTGTCTTCATGGGCGGATGCTTCAGCGTGCCACCCGAATGACTGGACCACCTCACTTTGTTGTGCTGAGACTGAGCCCATGAACGACCACCAGTCTGCTGAACCTACATCATTCGCTGCAAAGCAACGATCCCCAGCTCGCTGCATTTTGATGTGGCTTGGTAAGCTCCAGACAGGTTCAATGTCTCCAGGCCCTTTTTCCAAAGTCCACCCTTGGAACAAATTTAGACTGAGGGTTTGCCAAAAAAGGGAACTCAGGCACCATAACGGTGCTACCAGGTCACCTTCTTCTCCTGACACGACTGCTTGTTCATGATCTCTTCACAGCGCCAGCATGGTTTGTCTGCTGTACTTGTCTAAGAGACGAACTACTTCGATGCTCACCTGCTGCGCATGACTGTTGCTTGACCGCCTATACTAGATTCACTTCTCTTCGCAGCTTTTTCCACGGGTTGCTCACCCAGGCCAAGCAACTCCACACAAATCCAGCAGTCACCGGAGTAGCAGCGAGCAAGAGCGTCGGGGGCACAAGTGAACATGGTTTTACGCGTTCACATAGCGATATTGAAACTTCGCAGCCCTGAATTTATGATGATTGAAGCTGCTGAAGTCATGATGCAAGATGCGCGCCGGAAGCGTGACTCTTGGCCTTGTTAAAATTCTTGGGCGGCTTTCCAGCATCTATAGTCACGGACCTTGGGCTTGACAAGTTGCTGCCATCTCATGAACTGGCGTCTTCCTCATGGAAGGCCTGTGCAGCGCTTTAACTTTGACAGGCGGCGCGGTGGTGTACATGACTTCCTCGACAAACTCGTCTGGTGCCTCCAGCCCCATGAGCCTCGTGTTTCGAAAGCAGTAAACGACTGGCTCCAGCTGATGCTGTCCTTCAACAAGCTACGACCAGTTGGTTTATTAAACCGCTCGATCTCTTCTGCGATGCTTTCCAGTCAAGCAGCTTCACGGAAACAAGGCGCAACAACCTGGTGTAGTCCACCGACAACTTCCGTGGTCCACCTTTCCTGGGAAAGCTTGCCCCATCGTCGTGATTCTCAGCACGACCCTATCACGACGATCAAAACTCCCGTGGGTTGTAGCTCTTCGGAGAATGAGAATGCTCAAAAGTTTGTACCGCACGACTCTGGATGCCGAAAAATCGGCTCATGCTCTGGCCCTGCAGGAAGTGCATCGACGATCCCAATGTCTGAGGTGAGCTTGGCCACCTCGAGGAACTCCTCACGGCGATGCACAGTTGCTGCAGTAATAAGCTCTTGCTCCCTGCGACTTTGTCTTTTGCTCTGAGACAGGTGGGCTGGTCACAGGCCGATTCACATATTGGAAAGATTGATTTCCGCACCGGAACAAGCACGCTGCGGATTCGCGCTCTCGGGCCACACCCTGCAGTAAACTCCAAAACCTGCAACGCAAACCCTGACCCTAAAGCCGATTGCTTCAATCGCATGCAATCGGGATTGGTGCTTGAATGCGCTAGAGCTTGAATCACATGCTCGAAATTGGGCCAGTCGCGTGTGTGTTAAAGCCCGGGTTTGCAGGGGGAGTTGCCGGTGGTGCAGCCAGGAGTCCGTGGAGAGTAGCACTTCCATCTTCCTCGGCACTACAAAGCTACTCAACGGCAAGCACCTTTGCTTCATAACAATGCTGCCTGATGGTGCAGTATGAACTGAACACAATGCCACATGAATGGTTCTCTTTCGTTCCTTTCCGCGATCAAAAAACCTGACTCTACCAAGGGGCTTGCTTGGGTCCGGCATGGCCTTCGCCGCATCTGGCGTGAGCACCATGCCCAGCCAGTCCTTGCCTGTCAGTGCCCGATCCTTCCCTCATCTTCCTCATCTCCCGACGAAGCTGTGACAACTTGACCTACATGCCGCACAAGCCTTCCACCATCTCATGGATTGTCTGGACCTCAGCCCGCAGCCAGCAGCCACCCGCTATCCTCTTCGCCCACCCTTCCATCCCGGTCAGGCCCCCGGCAGTGCCAGAGAACTGGCCCAACAGGTCTCTGCGATCCCCGAGATCTACATCTGACACGTCCTTGCAATGCTCTTTGCAGGTTAAAGACATGCAGAGACAACGTGGTACATAGCTTGATATCGTGGGACACAGGCGAAGCAAGGCATGCTGCGGCCGAGGCACGATGTGCAGTTGTTGGTTGTGGTGAAACAATGGCCTGGTAGGTCTGAGATGGGTGCTCTACACGAATCGATTTCGAGGGCGTAGAAACACTTCGCAGCGACACCGTTTAGGATTCTGGGAGCATGAGGCATGAGGCATGAGGTCTTAGCAGCTGCGGCAAATGAAGCCAGGTGGCAAAAATCCACTTTCTGGAGGATCCCACTTTGGATTGCTGGTGTTTGTGTGATACCTCAATCAAAAGGCTCAGTTCGCCGCGGACATGCCAATATGCAAATCCAACATGAAAGTCATTGAACCAGCCGCACTTATCCCAATTCTTTGACACAGCCTGAGCCTTCACCGCTGAAGACACGAACACTCAATGCCATGGCGGCTCCGAAACCGACATCCTCACTCAAAGCCTGGAGGGAAGTTCACGGCTTGAGAACGCCGGTACTGCAATGAGCAACGCGGCGGCTATGCTTGTGGAGGTAGCAAACAGTATGCTACTTCACAGCTCGCCGACGCTACAGCAAACGAATCCAGAAGCAGCTCGAGTCAAAAAGCTTGAGTCCACGAAGGGGCATCCCCCTAACTTTCGCCTTTTATTGTCTCAGTGTCATCTTGCTTCTTTTCTCGCATCGGCCGAGTTGCGAGGTGGTAAACGTGGTGCCACCGAGCTGAATCTGAACCGACGGGTCCTTGGGGCAACCGTCCATGATGTGTCCTGCCTGTGTGTAAGCTGCAGGAGATGCGAGGAGGCTCCAAGAGCCCAGCGCTAGTCTCTTTGCTGAACAAGGAGAAGTCACCGCCTCAGCTTAAAGCTTCAGAAGCTTCAAAGTAACGATCGACGTGGTTTGACGGTGCTGAGATTCATCCAAGCCACCAAAAACGCCTCGAGCCTCGTGAACTGTGGCCACAACGTAGCCGAATGGCGCGGGCGTGGCAATCCTTGGGTCGGTCTACCGTGGCCGTGGGAACCCGTCGATCAATCGCCTGCTTTGTGACGGGTCGCGGCATCAGATTCGAGGGTGGAATCGGCGAAATTGGAACGTAAATTCCACCTGCAACGCAGCACCCGCCTGACCCGTGTTCACGGAAGCACGATGTCAATCCTGTTTGAAATGCTGTGGCTTTCGACGCCTCTGGACAGATGACTGGGTGTGTCATGCAATTTAGGAGCTGGTGAAGCTCACTGGCCCGCAGGTCACGGTCTCTTATTGATTTCCTCTACATCGCAGGACGTGCCTGGCACGACAAAGGACTGGAGGACCTTCTCGGCGCAGTTTTGCACTGCCTGGACCAAGATCGGCCCCAAGAGCTTGCCGGCCTGGATTCTCACCGGATATTCCGAAAACCCATCGACTCCATGACATGTGAAGGGAAGAAAGGCTCTGGGGGATCTTGACCGAGGCGGGGGCAGAGCGCATGCCGAAGAACTCGAAGTGGAGGTCAGGTAAATCCAGGAAGTACATCTTGCCTCACCCACTGAAGTCTTCGGTGATTAAGGGTTTATAGGGGTCTAAGGATGTTTAGCGGTTTTGGGGAACATGGATTGCGGCAGCTCCGACGCCTCCTGCAAAAATTGGAACGGCGTCTATCAGGGGCGAGAGGAGGACGCAGGCGTTCCCCGAAAGTGAGAACTTGGCCAAGCCGACCTCGGGGCGCAGAGCCAGGGATGGCCAGGGCCAGTTATATAAGCTCTATACACACATAAGTTGTATAATTGTATTTGTATAAGTAGATAACTATTATTGTATGCATATGCATGCCCAAAACCCCTTGCTTTGACTAAGCTGCCGAGGTGTTGATCGGGAGGCCGCTGACTCGACCGGAGATGGAAAGCCTCGGTCAGAGCTAAGCAAAACACAGCGAGCCTGTTATGGCAGCAACAGGAGAGAAGAACAAGCATCGGCGTTCAGCTTCGGCACGTGAAATGGAAGTCCTCCGCAGAGGCCATGTCCAAATGAGCCTGTGGAACGGTGCAGAGAGACCTTCCACAGAAGCCTTCTCTGTAGCTGTAGCTGTCGCTTGTGACGCCACGTTTGCTCTGTCCAACTCTTAAAACACATGTTGCTGGATGAGGGGACACGCACCCTCATTCGGCGACCAAGGCATGCGGCATGCAGACGCTTGTCTGTAAGTCATCATGTCGGTTGGATATCTGAACTCTCAAACGGATTCTGCCAAGACACAAGAAGCTCAACACCTGCCAGCTTCCAGAAAAGGCATTACTTGAACTTGGATGTTTTCCTGACGCCTCTCCGACACTCGACAGTCTCTAAAGCAGCGCGCCTTCCTGCATGCCTCGCCCGGTGTGTGTTGCAACGATATTCTTCAGATGAGGCGGCTGTGAACCTGCAGATTGCTCAAGCTGTCATTCTGTCGACTGAACTTTAGTTCAAGGGATGATTCATGGAAGTGCTCTGAATCTGCGCGATGTGCCTATATCAAACTCCGTCTGAACCTCAATGTCGATATTGAAGCCTGGGCCATGAATCGGCACGCACTGCTCGCGCGCAGACAACTTCGCCCGAGAGGTGGAGAACACTCCCATTGATAGACAGCGGCTTCTCCGTCGGTGCTGGCCCAAACTTGTCAACATAAGGCAGCCGGGAAGAGCAGGACTTCTTGCATAGCAAGCACCCACGACAAACTGCGTGCATCTTAGTGGGTTCGGCCGTTGATCGGCTCACATAGACATGGCCCAAGGAGCCCAAGGTATTCCGAGCTCGGATCTGCGACGTCACTTCAGCAGCCACCTCGATCGGAACGCACACTGCCCTCGAAAACTCGATAAGAGGACAATCACTATGAAAGACGTTTCGGGTACAGAACTCGAGCCACCAATGCTCCGACAACAGGGACTTCTGAATTTGCGGCAGGGGATCGATGTTCTTCACCAGTGCGCTGGCGGCCGTCCGAAAGTGGGGCCATGTTGTTTCAAGAATGTAATTCACCCAACCTCTGCTGCGTGCAGGAACCCTCTTTCCGGGCGCTAAGTGGAATCTACAGCTGAGGCTTCAAGCCGACTGACGACGGGTTCTTCGCCAAGCTGCCAAGGCTATCATGCTGATCGGTGTGCGCGCTGTCCGAACGAGCCTGCAAGCTACAGGCTGCAAAATAGTGAGGCTGCACAGTGCCATGCTCGGCGCTGTGCAATTCTTCAAGACAGCATGAAAAAAGTCTTGTTGCATGGCTAAGGCGCATATCTGTAGGGAGATATCACTGATACACCAAGCGTCCCCAAGGTGTCGCTGCCTGGGCACATGTTCTGTTGATGCCAGCAGACTTAGGGACCCCAAAAAGGACATAAGCATAAGCTTCTTATAGGCATAAGCATTTTATAGGGATATGCAGACCTATTGGGCTTCATTATAAGGGGGTTCATATGGGATATCCCTATCCCAATTCTTGCTGATGTGCGTTTTTGGGCCCTAGAAATACCTGCCCATAGTCAGAATAACGAAGTAGGTCCTATCAGCCTTGAAGCATCCCTCACCTCAAGTATACCCGCGACAGCCTTGCATGGATAACTGTCCGTCGGGGTGAGCATGCTTGTGGGATCTAAATGATGGTGGCAACCAAGCGGCTAATGCCACTGAAGAGAGGCCCTCTGATCTCCTGGCAGCATCACGAAAATTCAGCCTTTCCCATTCGTGAAACAGCTAAAACCGCACCATAACCACGAACCACGGAAGCTGAAACTTCCAGCTTGTCGACGGCGGAAGGGATGACTGGCATCCAAGCCCGTAAAATCCGTTGCAAGTCAGATGTGAACACATTACTCCGTTGACTTGAGCATCGCCCAAAGTCGGTTTCATGCACGAAGCCTGCAGACACGAACTTTGAAATGCAAGACTTCACTGTCGAACGTGCACTGTCATGCCCACCCTCCTTTCTGCGAGAACACCAACGTCACACATCAATCAGCTCGGCAGGCCCAGAAGTACAAAGAATGACTTGAGACACGAGTTCCAGCTTGCCTCTGACGGCGGATCGTCGGATTCCACTCGTTCCTGCCAAGCGACACTCGACAACCAACGTCTTGTATGTTGCATAGTCTCGAAGTTGGCTTGTGAAATTCTGTGCCCACCCCCCTCCATCCCCCCACCCCAACGCAAACAGATACGCTGACGCAGCGTGTTTTGCTGCCAGGGCACAATTCGAACTTCTTCTTCATTGTCACCATAATTCGCTGATGCCTCTTCCGGGTAGATGATGCCTGAGCATGTTGCTAGTGGTACTTGTCAATTCCGGTAAGGCTGGCTGGCTCCTGCTTCACCAGACGTTTAAGCACGGAGCAACTTCGTGCATCACCACTATCATAGCGGTCACAGCGCTTCTGTGTAGCTCCTTTTCTATTGTCTCTGCGTACTGCCACGAACCCGCAAGTTTGAGTTCGCATCGGCTTCTGTGAGCATGTGCATCGCCTTCCACCCACCCATGCATCAGTTCTGTTGAAGAACATGCCTGCTGCATGTACCGGAAGCTTCAGACACCTGCACTAGCGGATCGTGGCATCGTATAGAACGCAGTTGGGTCGATACTTGGCCACATTCTCTGGGACCGGCACAAGCCTGTCCTGGCCATCCAAGCCAAAGACTGCGCGATATTCGACCTCTAAACCCTTTGTGAAGGGATCCGTCGCTGGATCCGTAGTATCAGGGGACTTGTAGTCCTGCCCGTTGGCCAACATCTCGCGAAGGCGCAGCAAGTCCAAGCCACAAAGCGAGCCTTCAGCCACGACTCGAATTCCACGAACCCAGCTGGAGTGTAGAGTTGAACCAGCTCCCGGAGCTTGCGTGCGCGAGCCCAACACCAATGAAGAGATGGGATCCGTTCGAGGGAGCAGAGCCAAAGAAGTCAGGTCCCAAAGCGTCACATCTGCAACACACCCTTCTTCCAACTTCCCTCCGCTCTCCATCCCCACACCCTTGTAGCCATTCCTAGCAGCCAAAGAAAGGGCCGTCTGCTTGGCCGTCGGCCAGTCTCTGTATTCGGGCGTGGTGACACAAGCCACAGTGGTTGCCAACTTCAGTGCTTCCAACAGATCCTGGCCGTTGCTGCTGCAGGATCCATCACAGCCCACAGAGACCGAGACGCCTGCGTCCAGCGCCTTCTTCACGGGCATTACACCCGAGCCAAGAATCAAGTTGGATAGCGGGTTGTGAACACAAGTGGCACCAGCCTTTGCCATCATTGCCAGTTCGTAATCCTTCCAGGACAGCCACTGTCTCCAGAAGTGTCACACTACCAGGGGTTACCATGAATACTTGCTTCACAATCTTCCGCTTCAAGACATCTCTGCTCTACAGATTCCGAGACAAAGACTGACCTAATCGTACGGATTACTTTTTTGATCGAACTACCCCGAACTTGGTGATGCTTCGGGTGCTCCATATCCCATGCCAGGCTACGACCCAGGGTCCTCCAACCAGATGGTGTGAGCGCAGCTCGTGCCAGGAAGCTGCAAGAAGCCCACGTCCAGCAGATGCTGCACTGCAGACCCTGAAGGGAACCATTGGCGTGCTTGCATGGCCTTCGGGAACACAGCTGAAAGCTCGGGCACTGATTTCTCGTTACTTCTCCCACTACTTATCACGTGCTTGTATAACTCTCCGTTGTGTCCCGTCAGCCAGGCCTGGCCACGTGTCTCCAGCCTGAGCTCAGCGCCAAGAACACCGGCAGATGCATTCGCGACACGAGACAGTGCAGCAGGGTGTCAAGTGAGTGTGGCCACAGAGACCGTACTTCTTCCGGAGCTCGACAGCACCCCGCAGGAGCTCCGTGCTTGCAGAGTAGGGGGTCACTGGCCCGATCACAATTTCTATGCCGTTTTCCTTGCGGGCAGAGCAAACGGCAAAAAGCTACTCTTCTATTTTCGTGCGATGCATACCTCATCCTACCTCGGTGCCCTATTGTAGAAGCTCTTGCAACATCCCGCCAAAAAGCTTGCTAAGTGCGCTTCGGGCGTCCGGATCGTGGAATCCTCGGCGCCGAGATTTCGGCCGTGCTTTGTGAACGGCACATGGCAAAACACTGAAATGTTAACAAGCGTCTCTTCACTGCTTCCTCCCAAAGCTGCAGCCTCGCCAAAGAAAATGCATCAATTCTGCGTGCTGGAAGAAGAACATCGTACATGATGACCCCAATTCAATCCCAGGTGCATCTTCTTGGTCTTTGCAGAATCTGGAGCAGCCGGCTGGGTGCGGAAGCTGCCGTTTTTTCCCAATCCTTCTTGATGGCTGTCACTTTGTACGCAATTTCTCAAACCGAACGTCATGAAATCTTGCATGCAGGCCCAGGTCCTCCACAACAACTGCACTTGGCATTTCGGGCTGCCGCATCTGGGACAAGTGGAATAAAGTTTTCCCAGAGCACCTGTCACAGGCACTCGCGGGCACATGCCGGAAGTCTCCAAACTTTCATCCAAAGCACATCAGCTGCCATTCAGCCAAAGCGCAGCGTCGTCTCCTAGCATTGGGGCCACAAACGCACGCATCCCCAGCGCCTGCACACGCTGTTTGACAACTAACTCTTTGTGTCCTGCCTACGTGGTACCGTACTGTGCTAGACGAAGGAAGTTGGAAGCCTTGTAAGCCCGGACGATGGCGTCCAGGTCGTCCAGGTGCCGGATGGCAATATGATCCATGATTGCCTAATGTGACGTCGCAGCTGTCTAGAAAATGTTAGTGTGCACTGCACGAGCTGCACTACCAGTATGTCTGCCACAGGCGTGCTTCTCAGAAGGCTGAACACTCGCATCTGCCGAGATGCTGTGCAGCCTGGCGGGGTACTTGAATTGTCTGCAAGTGTTAGCAAACCTAACGTTCCGCAAATACAAACGAACTTCAGAAGGCTTAATCCGCAACTTCCATGACATCTGCATGTGAATCTCCAAGGATTGCGATACAGCTCGCATCCTAGTTATTAGAGGCCCTTCGGCCAAGCATACCAAGCACCGGAATGGTGCTTGCCCAGTGTTGGCGGCTCAAAAAGCAAACTAAACGGAGTGCTACAAGAAACGTTCACATCACGCCGTTGTGCATGTTCGAGAATCAATTTACACAATGATGGTGAGCACGACGAGCAACGACTTCACAGCCTCAACTGTAAATGAACTACTTGCCTCAAGTCTGAATTGAAGCAGCGATGCGCCTGACAGCATGGATTCTGCGCCGCAGAGCAGGGCCGACACGCCCAGGGCTTCGGCAGGTGTGCGATGGTGGCTCTCCTGCATTTGCCAGAACTTCGTTAGCTTTCAGCCGCAGGAGCAGAAACCTTCCCGCGACCGCCTCACGCCCTGCCATACCCCGCCTTGCCGTACCAGCCTTCGTCTCCACGTGGCTCGTGGCGGTAGAGTTGGGCGACCCACAGCTCCAGTGGAAGGGGCTTGATGAGGCCGCGCGTCCAATGCTCAGTGCTGTGCGTGTGCGCGTTCCTTGGTCGGGTTGGTCGTCATAGACTGGTGACTAATGGAATGTACCGCATGATTGGGAGCAAGACGAGTGCTACTCGTACTTCAGTTCTCGGTTGTCAACAAAACGCCTCGTGGACTTCAGCTGCCGGGGGCTGGCTTCAGCGCCCGCAGACTCGAACACGAGTAACAAAGCACCTTGTGCTGATATTTGCTGATCCTGCCGCGCCATGCTTTCAAGTTTCGGAGCTCCAGGCACCAGCTGCAAGAAACGGGAAACGAAAACAAGTGCAGGAATGCAGAGACGCCGCCTTCAACTTCCAGGTTTCGTAAGTTCCCATACACCGCTTCTACTTCAGTCCCAAGCGTCACGAATCCCGGAAGAAGCAGCTTTTCGCTACAGTCAACGAAGACCTCCGCTGTCGATTTAGGTTCCGATTTCGCCGCGGAAATCTTGGCGATCTTGCCCTCTGCCTCGGCGCAAAATGCTGCTGGCATTCACCCGACGGGGCCGATGTTCCGCCCAGGAGCTAGCAACACGTCTTTCCGCTCGTAGCCAGAGGTTGATGGCACCAGCGCATTCGACAGCAACGTTCGCCTGGCTTCTTGCATCGGGTTGCGACCCGATGTCACTGTATGTAGGACGCTGTAAAGAAAGTGACCGGATGCGGGACTGCGAGGCTACAAGCTCCCACGTCGGATCAAACATATGTGAGAGCCACGGCACACGGGAACAGCGCCCAAAGGCAGTGCTGCGGAGGAGACGCTCAAGCTCTCTCGCGCCTTCGGTTGGCGGCAGCTTCTTTTGCTCAGTTCGCATTGTTTGAGCAACAGCCACAATGCCCTGTCTTTTTTGAAGCTGGCCTGCTCCTCCGACAGCTTCCGCTTCTGGCCCCGATCGCCCATGGTGCGTTCTTTCCGCTCCCTCTACAATGAAAGAACCGTGTCAGAGTTACTTTGCTCTGAGAGTCTGAAAGGGAGAGAGCGAATCTAGGGTCAGGCACGGACATGGATGCTGTCAACACACAACACACGGGAGACGAACAGACATGCATGCCTGCCATGGGACGGTGGACTGTTTCTTGAACTCATGCATTGTGGTTGGGGTTGTCTTGAGCCCAGCTTGCGAGAACTGCAGATCCACATGCCACTGTCTGATCATGGCTACGGTCAACCCAGCTCCCGGCCGATCTCGTCCGACAGGCCCACTATTTTGGAGCCCGTCGAGTCCTGGCAGGGGCAGAGTGAGCAGGGAGGTTGTGTCGTCACGTCTGTGTCAGAATGAAACAACATGGTCGTCACACCACCACCATGGGCCAGCTATGCCGTGCGGAGCGGTCCTTTGGAGCACAGCTCGAGCAGCACCACATCCCTGTGCGGCCACGGGATCTCTGCTAGGCCTTCACGACCTGCCACAAGGCAAAGCAAAATTCAGAAGAGCTGAAGCGAAGCAAAGCGAGACAGACGCTCCCGCCTTCTTATGTGTTCGCATCGCAGCCATCAAAGATGCAACTTAGGCACAGAGGCTCGACACGAAGTGTCACACGCCGTGAGAAATAGGATACTGTAGCAGCTGGACTATGGGGTACATGTACACTGTCAAGAAGACTTCCTATAGGTGCGCGAGATTCCGTGACAGGTGAGAAACAATCTCGACTATAACCAACCCACAAAGGTCCAAGGCCAGCACCAAAAGCTTTAGGAGTAGCAAATCTTCACTTGATACGTAGGGAGCTTAGGGTTATGGACCTACGAATAACGGCTAATTCCAGGGTGCCGTGCTGGACCCTTCGGGGCCTGCCTGGGACCGCACCTGCAAAGGCCTAGAGCCTTGGGCCAAAGCGAACGTGCCAAGCTTGGATTTTTTCGTCGTAACTCGAGACCAGAAACATGCAAACGCCCTTCTTCGCTCGTGCTGAGACCATTTTCTTCCGTGGTGGCTTGGCTCGGCTGGTGTTCTGAACTTAACGGTTTGCCTTTGCGACACGCTCGATCTCGTCCTTCTTCCTTTCATGCAGAAGCAAGCTTGTGCTGTATCTACGCTTACATCCACACGAAACGCAATGCATGATAAGAGAACTAGCTACCTGTAGGTCATTGCATCGGGGCAGGGATTGCAAAGCTCAACCAAGATTCTTGATGGCGTAGCTGTTGGACGACTCCTTGGCAGCGTTCATGATCTCGTCTGCAAGGCACTCTGAGATGGACTTGATGTTGCGGAAGGCGCTGTTGCGGGCACCGGTGCAGATGAGGTAGATCGCCTGGTTAACTCGGCGCAGCGGGGACACGTCCACTGCCTGCCGTCGCACCACACCTGCTGAGCCCACTCGCGTGGAGTCCTCACGTGGGCCGCCATTCTTGACAGCATCGACAAAGACCTGGATCGGGTTCTTGTCTGTGAGGAGGTGGATGATTTCGAAAGCGTGCTTCACGATCCGCACGGCCATGAGCTTCTTGCCGTTGTTGCGGCCATGCATCATGATCGAACAGCACAGGCGCTCAACAATCGGGCACAGGGCCTTGCGGAAGCGCCGCATCTGGTACCGACCCTGGGTGTGGGGCAGGAAGCTCTGCGCCGCCTTGTTCACGGCGATGTAGTCCACCAAACTCAGATCCGACAGCATCACATCCTCGTAGGTCCTGAGATGCGTGCATATTGTGGTCAAAATCACGACATGCCAAACAAATTGCAGCAGCCGGGAAGCCACTTCCCAAAGAGCTTGACTTCCGTGGCAGACATGGCTCTTGACTCTGTCTGAGCGTGTCGCTCCTGTACTGTGCACGGTCCCGCACAGGACCCTCTGAGCCAACCTCCCGCAGACGAGCGCATCATGCACTATCGGTTGGCGCTTGCTTCATGTCTCTTGAGGCAGCGAACCGATGATGAGATACCGAGCAATGGGAAACTGGAACAAGCGTTGACAGAGTCAACTGCAAAATCGGCTTTACATGTGATGGTTGAAACCTTCCGGTCAGAACCGAACGAAAATTCAAAGGCTCAGCGGTACCAGGGTGAGGGAGAGGTTGTGGGAGAGGAGCCATCACAGACAAGGCCACGAAGGAGTCGACAGTATCTGGGGTAGCTTGAAAAACAATCACATGCAGAGTACAAGCGCCACATGCTTGTTCAGCACTGCGGAAGAGAAGTGTAAATAGCCTCTGAACAATGAGGTGGCCAGTCTAGGATTAACATGCGGAAACTGCATGCCTCTCAAAACAGTGTGCAATGATCGCAGTTCCCCAGACAGAGTCTGTCCCGTCCCCCCGTTTGCCCGTGTACGGTTCCATGTTGGTGTTGGGGCGGCTCTGACACAACTTTTTTGCAAGTTTCTCCGCAGGCTCGGCTCGTAGGTTCGCGAGAGGTTCGACGTCACTCAGCGGTTGGCCTTGGCCACACGCTCGATCTCATCCTGCAGGATTTGTCAAACCTGTTCTCTGCAACAACTATAGAGAGACCGGACAAGCAAGCATTCTCCTTCTTCTTGATGGCGTAGCTGTTGGACGACTCCTTGGCAGCGTTCATGATCTCGTCTGCAAGGCACTCTGAGATGGACTTGATGTTGCGGAAGGCGCTGTTGCGGGCACCGGTGCAGATGAGGTAGATCGCCTGGTTAACTCGGCGCAGCGGGGACACGTCCACTGCCTGCCGTCGCACCACACCTGCTGAGCCCACTCGCGTGGAGTCCTCACGTGGGCCGCCATTCTTGACAGCATCGACAAAGACCTGGATCGGGTTCTTGTCTGTGAGGAGGTGGATGATTTCGAAAGCGTGCTTCACGATCCGCACGGCCATGAGCTTCTTGCCGTTGTTGCGGCCATGCATCATGATCGAACAGCACAGGCGCTCAACAATCGGGCACAGGGCCTTGCGGAAGCGCCGCATCTGGTACCGACCCTGGGTGTGGGGCAGGAAGCTCTGCGCCGCCTTGTTCACGGCGATGTAGTCCACCAAACTCAGATCCGACAGCATCACATCCTCGTAGGTCCTGAGATGCGAGTAGAAGACTGCAGCGCATATGTCACCCGGAGCTACTTGATTGCCATCATCTTGCTGTCAAGCTGCCATTTTCCAAAAAGCTTTACTTCCGTGGCCGACATCTTGCCCGGGTTTGGAAGCTTCAAAACCCTCCCTCGAGCCTCTCGCTACGCGAGCAACCCAAGTCCCACCATGCCATCCATGACCACCGCAGGAACAAGACAACTTCGAATTCTATGCCGGCCTCAGTGCAAGGCGACGCAAATGCAAAACATAGGCTACATCGAAGTCGCAGAAGGAACAACAACAAACTGAAACATTTTTTTGGCCGGATCTTGCAGCTCTCGAAACATCTGGTCTAGCATGGCTCTTGAGAGAGGGACTCTGAAATTCCTCACGATCATGTTCCTAGACCTTGTTTCGCATGTTCCTATCATCTGAATTAGCACGTGTCGCAGTGCAGTGTAGCTACCATATGCTATCATTGCTTCATCATGGATTTCAAGCAATCCTGCTCTCAGCCTATCACCAAACATCTGCTGGCGTACATTCCTCGCTACAAGCAGGTGCTCTTCGCAGCACCATGCAACAGCCACGGATGCACCCGAAGCCGACTGTCAGATGCACACGTTGCTCTGCTAGTGTCAACAGCAGCCGTGAGGTCAGAGGACTGTCGTGTCATGTCGGGCTACGAGGATGAAGAGCTCGAGTCACTGGAATCAGAAGAGGAATCGGAGCTGTCCTGCAAAGCTCCCGAGAATCATGCAAAGATTGAAGGAGAAGGGACCGTCCGTCTCCGCATGCGACTGAGGCTCGGAAGATGAAGAAGAGGACTTCTTTCGCTTCTTACTCCTCGGCTTGCTGATGCTTTTTGAGACTGAGAATCTGGAGCCAGGCCTCTCGAGCAATGGGATGCTGTTTAGAGTCAAGTTTAGAGCTGTCTAGGACCTTCGAGCGGGAACCTGCTCTTCGGAGAGAAGTTCTGTTACGTAGATAAGGTGCTTTGAGAAACACTCGCCTGAGGCTTGCTTCCCACACTACCCAACATGAGCCTGTACGATCTCAGCATGGACTGCAAGAAAGCTGATGTTCCACGCTCTGGACCGCTAGCCTAGGGAGGTCCCTGTCCAAGGAGCTTCTTCTTCTTCTCCTTCTTTTTCTTCTTGTCCTTCTTCTTCTTGTCCTTCTTGCCTGCAAGGCTGACAGCCAGCCAGCTGAGCCGTGCAGCTGCGCCCAGTGAAGCCGAAAGGATGCCTTTCTTCTTCTTCACCTTCTTCTCCTTCTTGGGCTTTTCACCTGTCAAGGATCACTAAAGCTTTACTCTGGCTTAGGTAGGACGTGTCACTTCGCTCACAGCATCGCGCCCTTCTCTGCCATTTTCTTCTGCTTCTTCTCGAGTCTCTTCTGCTCCTTCATCTCCTTAGGACGGACATGCACGGTGCACACGGCAGGATCCGCCTCACCTACCGGGAAAAGTCATTCGCTTGACGAGCTCCGCACCGTGCGCTGCCGGACACTCGCCCCCTGAGCCCCTGGCGGCCATCCTGAGCAGAGCTTCCTCTTGCTGCTTTCGGAAGGCCTCTGGCAGGGTGGCCGAATCCAACGCTTTTTTTTCTTCAAAACCGAGGCAACCGATGCCAAGGCTGCTCGAAATATCTCAGGGACCAGCATCCACATCGCCTCGCTTCTGGACCTTTCCAGGAGTTCTAAAGCCAAGGGGCTCAGAGGCTCAGCAAAATCCCGTCGGCTTGGGCGTTTGGGCCCCAACCGCCATCGGGTCGAAGGAGCTTTTCCGCGCTCGTCTCGCCTCGAGGATGCTGTCCGCATCCCGGTCCTCAGAGGCCCATGTAGGGAGTGTAAAGCCCCCATGCGGCATGTGCAAATTTGCAGCGTTCAAAAGCCTGCAAAGGGGGTGATAGGAAGGACGACGTCACTCGAATACCCGAAACACGCTTGTTAAGCCTCAAAGTGCATCTTGGAGTGCTCTCCATGCCCTTGCTGCGCTCGCGAAACCGGGCGGAAACTCTAACACTGGCATCTAATCCAGGCTGTGATGATAGAGAAAGCAAGCTGCCGCACCTGAGGCGGCTCAAGGCAAACACGCCGACATGTCAAATCCTGAGAACCGTGCCATAGCCTTTAATCTCTGGAGGCGCTCTTCTTCGCGCGAGTTGAAACTGCCCTGCAACAGATGCGGGTGAAAACCAACCCAAAATGTAGGGCAGATGGGGTGTCCGGGGGTGTGCAGCATTGCATGCGTGAGCTCACAGGCTCTGGTTGCCATGCTGACAACTAGCACAGTTTAGGCACTCTGTGGACTTCCCTGCATATCCCTGCATTAAGGTCAGAAGAAGATGGGGTGTATCGCCACGGTCATGGTTGCCCCACAGCGCTTGATCAAGATATACCAAAGGGCACTGTGGCGCTGCTCCTGGTTTTTAAGGATTGAAAGCGCTTGCTTGCAATCCCCCCCCCGCTCGATCTGAAGCTCAGAGTGCAAAGACACAGCTGGCCAGACTCCACCACACGCCTGTGCTTCACGAAGCTTTCGAAGCTCCTGACATGTCTCCGTGCTTCCGGACCAACTTGACCTCACGAGCCTGGCCTGAATGTCTCACTCAAAAGCCCAAACTGACGCTCCTCCGGGTCATCAGTGCCGTGGTGGACTGTCTCTTTGTTGACCTTAGGCGAAGTCAAGCTTCTGGCCAAAGCTGGAAGCATCTTCAGACATCTTCCAGATTCTCGTGAACTCACACCAGAGTTTTCAAACGGCTCAACTGCCAAGTTGAGACGAGAGATCGCAGCGGCACTTGAGGCAAGAGTAGCAAGCCAGGCCGCTGACACCCCAGGCGGTCTTGCCTCGGGAGACATTGAAAGAGAATTGTATTGATGCATAAAGTCTGAAGACCGACGCACTCACGACTAAAAAGATGATGTAGCAAGAACCCTACAACTGTTAGAAGGTTGCAGCAGACAAGCATAAAATCGGAGGGTGCAGACTGGTAGTTTTCCATGAGGGTCAGATTGCCGGTTGATGAGTACAAACTTAAATACAATATGAGCTGGTTCATCCGCCTCCACCTACAAATGCAGGACCTAAGATGAAGGACACGTGTAATCGAAAAAACATCTGCCAACAGATCATGGATTGCGAGGTCAAGTGCTGCATTAGAGGAAAAGTGGGAGGAACGGACAAGAGTGGTATAGGAGAATAATTTAAGCTCGACTATGATGTGCTGTTTGTTGTGCCAACTAACAGCCTGTCGCAGGAGAAACAGAATGAGGCGATAAATTTAACAACCTCGAGAGGGGATTATTGGACCCTCCGAAACTGATGTTTATATCGAACCTACCACGCCTTCCAAAGGAAACATGCTTTCTCTTGGATTTGTTGACTTTTGAGGTTTGGAAACGCTTGCAACTCGAATTGTTGGACACGCTAGTCCCGCTAGTCGAGCTTGGTTTCTGGCGAGGCTCTGTCGGGAAGTTGCAGACGGACAGTAGCATTGGTTAACACACCGATAGTACCACGCGTGTCACGCGAAACGGGGTCTAGCGTATAATTGTGAATCTAGTGGAGCAACCCTTCTTGTGACATGACATGGCTTGACTTGACTTGATACTTTATGGAATGACATGATATGACATGATATGATATGAGATGACATGCTATGAGATGCCATGGGATAAGATGCAAAGATATGATATGTCAAGACATGATAAGACATGCGTTGATGTGATATGGCATGATGTGACATGACATGACACGGTATGATGTAACATGATATCTTATGATTTGGTTTGATATCAAATGATATGATGTACAAAGATATGGTATGACATGACATGATATGACATGTGATCCCCCTCCCCCTGCCCCGCAGATAATCAGCAAAAACGCGCAAACGTCAGCATGAACTGCAGGAGCAAACATCAAGATTGAAAACCGCTATATCAAGGGTAGCAGAGTGAAGGAGCATGGCAACATCAATGAGGAAAGTCACAGGCGGCCACCTTCAACAATAGAACGTCATTACCCCCCCCCCCCTCACCCCTTCCCGCCCACTTCCCCCTCACCAAAAGTAGGCGCAGATATCCCGTCTCGCGCTGAAACAAGTTCTTTAGCATCCCATTGAGCACGGCTGTGAACTGCCTGACACAGCCCTTACAATCTGATGGTGGCTGACGAGATGTGAATCGCATCCATGTGCATGCTAAAAATCATGCGGCTGTTTTGCATAGATTATTCCGACGACGAGATTACAGTTTATAGTTACAACTGGCGGTACTAAACAACTGCCACCCAGAGAGGATTCAAAAAACTGCCAAGACAAAGAAGTATATGCCAATGCTTAGATACCAAGCATAACATCTTCTTGGAAATGTCCAGGGGGGCGAAAGGAGAGGCATGCAGATTTTTTGGGTTAATACGTTGCCACTTGCAGAGCTGCTTGAGGAATATTCTGAGATGATTGAAGATGTCACCACATCCGACTACAACATACTAGTACCAGAGTATAGCATCAACATTTCAACACGTGTATGGGAGTATCCAACAAGATCAGGAATCGGTTAGCCAAAACTGGCGATCATGAACTACGAGAGGTTCTGATGTGTAGGCCGTATAAGGAAATGGGAAAACAGAGATTTAACCTGAGTTTAGATTCTAGATAGAAGCAGGTAGGGAAATAAACGATGAGAAACATCTTGATGCAGCGCTGCTGAAAAATGATAAGAAGCAAGGGCCAGAAAAAATGCAAATGGTTTGAATTCGAGACAGAAGCGTAGATTGTGTAGCAGTTTTGCAACACAAAGGCTGGATAATGCTTCATCCCTTGCTTGGTGCTTATGATGCAATTGTAGCACTCATGAACATGAAAAACTGTTCTATGTTTAGTTGCATGGCTTTTGTGACCGCTCGGGTTTTGGGAGTAGGGCATGAACTCTAAAAGGCGCCTAAGAGAAGGACAAAAATATGAGTTCGTTAGGAGGAGCCAAGCAAGGCCTGTGGTGAGAATAGTTTTGTCCGCGCGCCCGCTTGAATAAGAGTTGGATATATTCTTCGTTGGTTGTAACGAGTAAGAAAAACAGAAGTTTAGAATAATGCGCTTCGCAAACATGCTACCGTCATACCTATTAAGAGTACAGAACCACCAGATATACTGGCTGGAATAAGGACTCACAAAAGATGGGGGATGAACCCAAGATGCTGGCAGTGAAAAGATTTACAGCACTCTGTCTGCCACAAACGCCAGCGGGGAAAGCCATCAACCAAGGCTTTAACTCTTCATGCGCTTTCTGGGGGTATGCCCAGCCGGCGCTTCCTCCAAGGGACGTCTGTTGTGTAGGTCCGGGCGGCCGGCCGGCTATCTGCTGGGCCATCCAGGGCAAGGAAACCAAACACAAAAAAACAAATATAAAAGCAAAATTGCCAGCCCTACGCTACACCTAGGTTTGATGATGTTGCTGTTGTTTTGGACTCTATTCCCTGTAGGGCTATGTTTTGTGTTTTTGTTGTTGTCTTAACCCGGGCCTTTTTTTCAAAAGCGGTGCAGGATAACAGTTGATAGATAGATGGAGAAAGATCTGCTGCGGCTGGCCATCACTACGTCAAATCCTTCAAAACTACTGCAGCTCACACGCCACAGTGGCCTCTTCTGTATTGTTATTGTGACCAGGAGCCAGCATAACTCATGCTGGGGTTGGGATCAATATGGGCTGTCGCCTTGAATTGAGATTGTGCTATAAGGTGGGTACTTCTAGCATCCAAGTGACTAAGTGAATGCGACTGGCCCGAGCACTGAGGACTGGGCCGCCCATAGCCGGAGGATGAATCATGGCTTCGAGCTTGCTGCCTGAGCTCTTAGTAGCAGCGTGCGGAAGCTAGTTGACTTGCTAACATCAGGCAGTTGCATTTGAGACAGAGCGTTGCGCTTCGCTAATCAGCTAATCAGAGGATGCTAGACACCCTCAGCCTCGCCCACGTCTGCACGCGATGACGGGGAACAGGCAAGTCGCGGTTCCGAGATGCAGCTCAGGATTGAGATTCCAACGCTACTTGCCGCACCACGTTGAGGTCTCTCAGCCTGAGTGTCACAGATGTCACAGGCAGTACACATGCTCTGCAGAACGACTCACGGCTGGCAAACTTCATCTCCAATCAAAATGGCTTCAGCTATCTTGACGCTGGGCTCTTTAGGAATCGAATTCTGAGTTATCATTATGAGGGAGCCGTAAAACCTACCATTTTTGTTCCTCGTTTTGATGAGTTAAACTAAGTTTCACAACAAGACACGAAGAGTCTGGGTTCCCGGGCCCATGGCGGCACGGACAGCGGCCCAAGCTGCTGAGGCTAAGACGGCCGCGGAATTCCGGCTTACAGTCAAGGCTTGGCCTGCTGTGACACAGAGAGAGAGCAGCGAGAGCGAGAGCGAGAGCGAGAGCGAGAGCGAGAGCGAGAGCGAGAGCGAGCGAGAGAGCTTTCGGAGGCCATCACATGCATCAGTGGCACTTGCAGTCGGCATCACACGCCCCTTTGCCGCGGAGCCGAGTTCACTAAACATGAACCTCCAGGGCCGTTCGTGAGCACCTACGCGATTTGGCAGGAGGCACAGGGGTGAAACTTTGCTCGGCTTCTCGGATCTAAATGAGTGTCAAGGATTGCGTCAAATGGCTGAAAGGGTCTCGGCACTGGTAAGCACCACCTTCGGCTTGGAAACTGTGGGTCGCAACTGCGGACGGATTGTGTTGGCCGTCACTGTGTGTGCCTCGCTCGGCTAGCAGAACCTGGCGCTGGCAAGCACAAGTTTCCTGTGTAAAATCGGAAAAGCCGGACCATGCAACCAAGCAAGCAAGACAGCAAGAGTCATGAAACAAACGTCCGGGTTTTGCACATGCAATTGAAAGCATCAACAGGGAAAGCTCCATCGAAGTCCAGAGAGTAATGATACCGAATGATACGGACGACTGCAAAGACACCAAGGTGTGCGGTGCAACTGCGGTATTGTCTGCGCGGATGTGTATGTCCGTGTGTGCATATACAGACGTGCAGCCACAATCACAGGAACACAATTGGGGAGATGCAAGCACATCGACAGCCTGGCAAACCGCCCAGAAGTTCAAGCAGTTCCTTCTGCAGGTCCTCGAAGCGAGCAATCTACAGATGCTGACTGCAAGCAGTTGCAGACACTCTGTCCATTGCCAAGAGCTGTCCTGACCAAGCCCAGGGGCGCTCTGCACAGCGCTGGTAAATGCCTGCAAGTTTCATGATCAATGCTGAGACTGCCGAGGACGGCTTAAAATTCGCCTTCAGCTGAGTGCTGTCCACACTTACCGCCGTGACCGAGGCATCTTGGCCTTGCAGGAGTGCAAGATGCATAGCATATCATAGCATAGTAACATAGTAACATCGTAACATAGTGACATAGTGACATAGTATCATAGCAGCGTAGAGAGCAGACGAAGCGACCGCCCTGCCTCCTCGGCTCGGAGAACTGCCGACGCTTGCCTGCGCTCTCTTTTGCGGCGCTGGTACACGCTTTTTGGCTTTCGGCCATCCTTTCTCTGTAGAACACGAGTTGGAGGGGCAGCCCGTGATTTCAGCTGCGCCATGCCCACTGCACTTGATGCACTGGTGGCGGCAACCTTCTCTGCGACTTTGCTACATCCATTGCCTCCTGCAGCTTTCCTTCTTCGCCGACAGCATAGCCTCACAGACAGGTTGTTTGACCCTGACCCTGTGCAAGCTTCGAGCCGGGTTACGAGCTAAGAGCCATGAACCGGATATACTGAGTTTCGGACCCACGGAGGACCGGCTGAACTCCAAGCTGTCGCCCACAGAAGAAGCCTGGTGCCGTGTTGAAGCTAACAACTTGTCGCGGTCCTCTTCTGCTGCGCAACTTGCGGCTAGCTGCGCAGCAGGAAATTCGAACCCGGAAGTAACGGTCTCAACGGTCTAAACAGCAACAGTAACTGGTGACAGCAAGCTTCGAAACATAAGCCGTCGGCCATCCACGATGCGCAAGACAAAGCAGAATGGCTGCGGCACCTCGTCAACATCAAAGTCAGGAAGCGTGCTGCGTGGCGAACATGCAGAAAGGGCTTCTTCGAATAGTTTGGGCTCCTGGCGGCCCGGCACTCTGCGAATTCTGCGATCGGGAGGAGTCGTAAAGATCCTGACGACAACACCGGCATTTCGCAAATCTGTCACGCGCAGTTCAGTGTAGAAGGAAAGGAATTCTCTGGTTTTTTCAGTCATACACAATCCAAGAACATGAGTACAAGTAAGAGTTGTGAACTTCGTTTCTTCGTCTGACCTCGAGCGGCTTCCCCCTTGACCTCGGTCTCTTTTGGCTTCGACAGTCTTCTTCTTGGGCATCATCGAGACTAGGATTGTTAACATATCGAAGTGAAATCAGTCCGTTGAAGCAATACAAAAACACGTTCCCACGAAACAACAAACAAACCACTGCTCCTTCATTACACGGATTAATAGTTACGACCCACTGTGCGACCAAGGACCTCTGCAAGTGCTGCGGGCACCATCCCGCGCGTCAGCCTGAGATGGTGCACAAAAAAAGCTCCAAGCGCACAGAGTTCTTCCGAACTCACAGCGGTCAAAACCTCCGTGCCCAGCTAGAATCCTTCACCTTCAAGCCGGGGCAAACCAGGTCACGACCGACTCGGTAGCCCCAGACGGCGGTTGAAACAAACGTCTCCCGGCGTGGTTTGTGTGCAGCTTTTGTTTTTGCAGGCTTAAGTGTCCACCGCCTTTGAAGCGCCTCACCGTTCCCACGACCTGGAGGGCTCATGCTACCACGGCCCGGGTCACGGTTTCAATAATGGGGTCAGAAGTTCAAGGAGTTCGGAAGATTTCGCAATGCGAAGCTCATCCAAAATTCATTTCAGTGTGAGGCCTGCACACACTCGATACAACCAGCAGGTGTCTTGCACCACATCTTGCATCCAAGCACAAACAGATGATATAAAGACTTCGACAAGCGGAACATCGACAGCTGAAAAAACCCGGCCCTACGCTCAACGGCAGCCCATCGCAGCTCAGCCCGCTGCTGTCTTGGAGTCACCTTCGCACAGGTCGGGGAGGTGCTGCGTGGACGATTTCGCTAAGCTCGGGCTGTGCTGAAGTCCCAGCCTCTGCCGGGCAGGGGCCGGAGATCTTGGTCCAAGAAGCTGCTTCGCTGGCACGACGAAACTGGTGCGAGCCCTCTGCTTACGATTGAGGCCCCGACGCCGACATTCTTTGCCGGGGCCTGCACACCAAGGAACGCAGAGAGTACAAGCGGTTCTGGGTTGCGACAAAATGCTGCTGGACAAGTAGCAAAGCTTGCCTAGCCCATGTCACGAGCTGTCACAGTGGCAAGCGAGTGGGCTCGATTTTGCACCGTCTCCCCGGAATAGTCAGCCCAAGTGTAGCTGTACACAACGCAAGGAAATTTCCGGAGACAGGCCAATCTTACGCACCTCCAAGCGGTGACATAATCCAAGCCATTGCATGCTAGTCAGTCTGCAAGGCTAGCATGCAACAGATTGTTGCCGGCGACAGCAAGAAGGAAGCTGTCCTCCAATACCATGTCTTGCTCACAACCTGGCTTTTCTTTGTGGTGCCAAGTGCACCAAGCATTGTCGCTGTACATTTCCCACACTCAGAATTTTGTGCAGTTGCGGACCCCGCACTTGCGGTAGTTGCTTCGTCCGCCGATGAATGTTCAGTGTGGTGCTGCTAAGTGCGAAGGCCCTGTGAAGGCGCCTGTGCAATCGAGAGAGACAAAGAGATCAAGGACGTCAGCAGGTCACTCCAGTTCTACTGACCCGCTGGGCTACGACTTCGTCTCCAGCTTCGTTGCTCCCGTGCCCACACGCCTGCACTTCGAATCGCTTGCATCACGACCATACTTCCCCCGGCCGGACACCTGGAGCCTCCACAAGCGGAGAAGCAGCTTCATCACTGGAAGATGCTCGACTCTCCTTTGTCATCACCTTACACATGCGGAACCGAACCTCGTGCGCAAATGGGCAGCAGCTTCCGTTGCTGCAGCGGCCACTCGCCCGCCAGAAAGTGCACGGCTCCTGTCCGGCCTGTATCAAAGCGTTCGGATCGAAAAGATGTGTCAGCAGACAATCGGCTCAAGAAGCAGCCCGATCCTAGCCTCTGCCTTCGATGGTAGTCGGAGCTCCTCTGGCCCATGGGCGTACGTGCATCTGTCCCCATTTCTGCACCAGCCCGACTCGAAGTAGTGGCACAGGACCACCTTGTACGGCTTGGCCTGGCAGAAGCGCGAAACTTAAACCACACAGCAAAAGAATGTCGACAAAAGCGCTGAAAAGGCGCCTCCTGGTCCTCGGAAGTTGCCACTGGGAAGCGAGCCAGTGCGGACTCCAAGGCATTCTGTGGCGCGTTGGAACCGCCCAAAGCCACGGGAAGAAGACCTACCTCCACCTCTTGATTCTCAACTTCAAGCGGAATCTGGGTGGTCAAGAGCTCGTCGATCGCATGCGCCTGCGCCCCGTCGTCCACGCTGAATAGATAAGCGTGTGGCAAGGCCTCCAGCCATGAGAGGTGAACAGCTGCACATGCCAGCACATGGTCCATCACCTCCCGAGCCGTCATCAACTGCGTCACATCCAGGTCTCCACCAGCCTTGGCGATGACCAGCACGCGCTCGGCTGGAACCTGGTCCACCCGAAGCACACACCGTGAGCATCTTGGCAACGTGCCGCCGGCGGCCCGATCCAGAAATCGGTTGAGAAATCCAAGCTTGGTCTCAATGGCAACAAATGACCAAGGTCCCGCGTCAGGTCCGGGCAGGAGCACCAAAGCGATCCCGTACTTCCGGAAAAGCTCGGCCCAAGTTCGCACACGCACTCTGTCAAGCGTGCATGGGCCACTAGCCAAGCTTATGAGCAGCGACGCAGCCACGACCATCCTCTCTAATGCGAAGCTCTGGTGCAAAAAGTGTTGCTGAAGGTCCAACTGATATTCACTGATACTGTTGCATCTGCTGTTCTTTCGCCAGGTGTGTCGCCTTCTCCCTCATGCTCATGTTTGCACCAGCACAGCTGCAAGCAAATCATCTCATGCGGCATGCGCTTGTCTGCTGTCGAGACAACTGAACTACTGGTACCTCCGTGTTGCATAGGAGTGGGAAAGGCTCGACAACTTCTCTCTGCAATGCAACATTCCGCAGTCCTCGAACTTGACAGTGCGGTCGTCGTCCAAAGCAACCTGCTCATCAAAGCCCAGACAAGAGATCGGCACCCCGTTGCAGGATGACTTCATTCAGCCTCTTGAGCGGCTTGAGTTCCTTTTAGTTCGTGATGCACTGCCTCCCTCTCAGGAAGTCTGGCTGCACATGCTCGTGCCGCACCTCGTTGCTGCCAGACTCCTGGATGGCCTTGGCTGGCAGTCCGCGCGAGGCGCGGCTTGGTCAACAGGAACGCGCCCGCAAGGGCATCGTTTTCCCGATGCATCCAAGTCCAAGGTGCGGTTTCCAGCAGGGCTCGCAGCTCCGCCACGTCAGCCTCGATCCACGAAGAATGATTTCTGGCTTCTGGGCACCGACTTGACTCGGTGCCGGACATCCAGAAGCCCCCCGGAAGCTTGAAAGGAGGTGGATGGCTCCTCTACCTCAGTCGCGATCCGTCGCAGTCAGGTTGGAGGCTGTCGCCCCTTGGCACAAAAGTTGCCGGCCTTCGATGCTTCCATCAGAGAGCTGTCCAAGTCAACGTCTTGGTTCACTGCCTCGCAAGCTGTGCATGGAATGTACATCATGCTTTCTGTGGGCTGCTACATCTTTTTGGCCATGGCTCGGCCACTGGCCGTTTGCGGGGCAGCTGCAGCAGTTCTGCAGCAAATGTAAGGCACCGTTTGAGAAGAGGGCTCCGCCTCGCCGGCAATGTTTCCCTTCAGAGTCTTTGTCTGCTCGTCGGCGCCTTTGAGGTCAGGCACCTGCACATCTTGGAGGAACGGACCAAAGCGCGTCAGCAATCGCGACGAACCACTATGTCCTCCTAGATTGACCACCAAGCCACCGGTGCTTCTGTAAGCTGAACACCGGATACGCCAGCTGCTTCCTTCAGGACCGACAAGGCCTGCCCAGCACGAGCCAAAACAAACTCCCCCATCCTCATTCATCAGAGAGTTTCGCGGACTTTGGCCTCCTTCAAAGTGCTTGGAGGCGAGCGCGTCGACGAAGGAAGCTTCCTAAGTGGAGAGCAGAAGACACGCGCTTGCAGTGGAGACCCTGTGCGAAAGACCGGTAGGGAAAAGTGTCATCAAGCGTCTAAGGATGTCTCAGGCTTCTGGGGCTCTCCGTGTTGAAAATCGTCCGCCCTGACTGCTCAATGCAGCTGCGGTTCACTGTCTTCTGAAGCGTAGCCGCATCAGTGTTCTCCTGAGCACTTGGTCCCATCCTCCCTTCCCAGCAGTCTCATCGTCCAGAATCGGTTCTTGAAGGAGTGGAAGCGACACCCGGACACAAGATCACACAAGCCTTCAGCCGCTTGCCGGAAGGTGACATGAAGTGCATCATGTCGTCACGCCATGATCCGACAAACAGAGTGGCACGAACATGGGTTCGTGTCACTTGCGGCCCAGCATCCACACAAGCTTCAAGAACGTTCCTCGGCATGGGTGGGAGATGGTAGTGTTTCTGCAAGGGAGCCAGCGACACAGGCACAAGTGTAAACACAACGAAACTTCAACATCTTCAACAATGTGACACCTAGTCGGATGCCAGCCTAACCTGTCGCCACCCCCCCCAATCAATGGCGGCCAAATCGTGACAGGTCAAGCAGCGGAAGCAGCTTTGATGTTGCTGCCAGCGACTGCTCCAGCTGCTCCAATTTGGCCTGGCGCCCTTGGAGACCTGAGCTTTGGAAAACCGGACCGGATCCGTTAAGGTCTTACACAGGTGTGACAAAACATCTCAGAAACCAACTTCGACGAGTTCACAAGCAGTACTAGATATAAGCCAAGGTGCTGGAGGGGCCTTCTGCGGACTTGTCCAGCAGCTTCTCAAACTTCGACGTGCCGTCCAGCGACATCTCCTGGCTGGATGGGTTGTGTCATGCATCACTTGGCAAAACCTCCTTCGGCATTGTCCTGAGTGTTACCCTGGCTTTTGACATCGCAGACCTGAGGCTTTAACAGTCACACTTGATCTTACCGGACAGTGTAGCTGTCCTACTGCAAGCTTCCCATGCGTCTCGTGTCTCAGGTAGCCCCGAGGGCGCTGCCGTTGTGGAGGAAATACACAGACCTTGTGTACCCATCTTCAGCTGCCGGTCGCATGGCACCAGCAAGCCTGATTTGTCATCAAGGATAGGCGTCGAAGAGTCGAGAGGTGGAGATGCTCAAAGCGTTAGCCAATGCCAGGCGGCTCTGCCCTGGCAAGGAATTTCGCAGCTCCGTTTCCACCATGGCGACGGTCAGGCAGAAGTGGGCTTTGTTTGCTATGCATAGACGGTGCACTGCAGCTGTTCAATGGTGGGCCGGGAACACCGGCCGCCCCCGATTGCAGTCGTCTTTGCTGATGAGACTGGCACAGATGGGGAGCAGCCTACACAGCCTCGTCCTAGTCCGATCTGTTACGTTCACGTGGGATCCGTCTAGCTGTGGAATATTCGCAGTCTCTGTGAAACTCATAAACCGGTAAAGCCAAACAGTGCAGCTGATGCATTGCAGCGGCTGAAGAGGGGAAAGTCATCGGGAGGCTTGAATCTTTCGCCAAGGTGGGCCACGCGGCAAGACCACAACAAGCGGGGCTTCTGTAATGACTAGAGTTTAGAACAGCCGAACGAAAATCAAAACCGGATTGCAGTTCGTAACCGCGCTTTCTTGCCCGAGCCTGCCTGGCCAAAACCGGCCGGGAAATATCCCGGCCGAGACATTGGACGGGGTGTCTGCTGATGGGCATCTGACGCACCGTTGGCGACTAGCCGAGGAGCAGTGTCGCAACCTGCATATGGACTATCAAAGCACAAAGCCTGAATCTTTGCAACATTCGCAGGATTTCGTGACTTGCGAGCTCCCCGCACGACGTACGATGCACCAAAGACTAGAAGTTATGGACATCTGAAAAACTCCAGCACACTCCTGCTCAGGAGTCGTAAAGTACTTTGGGTGTCCATCTTGCAGTTGCGTTGGCGCTTAAAAGCGTGGGGCGGCCATACAGCCAGCTTGGAGAACAGTGGCCGTGTCTGCCTCGCAATATCGAGGAGCCCAAAACCACGCAACATAGGCAGTGCACGTGTTTTTACTGTGGCATGGAATGAAACAATTTGAGCTCCCTGTGCTTGCGAAGCACTGCAAGGGCGGAGGTCAACAGATACTTCTATCTGCACATCTTAGCAGATCTGCTCTAAATATGATCAGCACGCGCTCTTTGCACGGCTGGTACTGTGTCTGTTGCAGCCTTCGCCCGAGCCACGTCAAGATGACATCTTCAAAGCTTCCGAAACTCAGGTTTAAGCAAGATTCCTGCTTGGCACGTTCTCAATCAACATCCGGCCTGGCATCCTACTGCATGATCAAACACGCAGGCATCTTCTTGCACATATGACAACATGTCATTCTGCATCTATCTCCGTTCACGGTGGATACACCTGGGCCCAAGGCAAAGCCTCCTCTCCCAACCCTGCTGTCTGGCTTCAAACTGGGCCGAAGGCATTATTGCAGGCCGCGCAGCCTAGCACTTCAATGCCTATGCATTTTTCCCATCAGTGACTCCAAAACACATCTTTGACTGAATTTTGGAACCCTCACCAAGCTAGTTGCGGTTGGGTGCACGGCGAATTGGTTGCTGCTTTCGGACGGATTGAGAACTGCCGTGCGCAGGACAGGCCTCTTCAGGATTGCTTCTCCACGTCGCCTGTCGATGACATTTTTCTACAGGGAATGTAACCCTTGAAAAGCCCGTCGACCACTTGCCACTTGCCTTCCAGGGGCTCAGGGCCGTAGTTAGCCGCCCAAAGGTCCTTCAGCTCGCCCTGAAAGCGGCTTGCGGGCTCTTGTGTTACCAAAAGACTCATCTGGAAATGGGTTAATCCAAGCCTTCCGCAGCGCGATGAAGCAGGTGGGAATCTCGGTTGGGGGTGCGAGAACGTGTCGATCGTCACGACTCTCTGGAATAGCAGCTAGCATGTGACAAGCAAAAGCACACCTCTGGATCCGAGCCATTGGGTGCTCACTAAGCCAAGAGCAAGCGTGCCGGGAACCAGAAAGAGGAGGGCTGGCTGGCCATGCTGCATCAAGTAGAGCGACCTTGGAGTCCACTACTGACTACTGCACGCTGCGCACGCTGCCAGCATGGGCCAAGAACAACTCGTCGCCTGCTGAAGCTGAGTTGCAGGCACGAAGGTCGCTAGCAAACCCACGGCGTAGCCGATAACGCCAGCAAGAAAGTACCTCAGACCAAGCTTGTTGAAGCAGCGGAGGATGAAATTTGCAGATGGCGGTGAAGGTGAACCGTCTGAATGATTCACTGCCCCGGCGCACCCTGCACATCTCCGATGGCGTTTCACCAGGTCGTGCCGACTTGGCATGTTCAGAACTCGCTTCAAACAAGTGCCCAGGACAAGAAGAACAAGATAATTCATCAGATACAGAGAACCGGCAACGATCTGGGATCACTGGCAGCAGCAGTGAGATCAGGAGCCCGGGAATGGCAATGTCACCGAGGCCCAAGATCTTCGAAGAACGACGCTCGCAGCCGCGGGGCGCTCAACAGCCCTAAAGGCCTTGAACTGCCCCGGCAGCTCGCCGTCGAGCGCAGGGATCTTCAGAACCATGGGCCTCGACGGCAACACCCCACCGAGGCCGTTGCGTGAGACTCTGACTCTATGACTTCTGAGGTGCCGGACACGCTCTGCCCGGTACCTCCTCCGGTGGCCACCTTTTGAAAGAGCACGGCACAGCCCGCACAGAACACCCAACGAGGAGACCCGCCTCGATCATCACGGACTTCTTAAAGATCACAGGTGAGATAAACACCCAGAAGATATCGAAGAAAAACGTGCAGATCAGCAGCAGCGTCCCAACCTGACAGCAAAGCATTCCAACTCAGCCCCGACGCATGTCACATTGTGGCACACCTTCAGGTTCGGTAGTCGCACTGTGCGCTGCAGGGTCAGCAGAAACATGATGGCGATGATGTCCTGCAGAGCCCAACCTAAGCACGGCCACAAGGCAGAGGTGTCAGCTGCTCGGTCGCTTGAGAGTGCTGCCGATGTCGTCATTGTTCCGAAAGATCAAGAAACAGACGGCAAGCGCCTGGTTTGGAGCTGCTACCAAGAACAAGCCCTGCAGTCTCAGCCAAGCTGAGAGCTGAGACAAGGACTACACCGACCATTTCGGACAAAACCTCCGTCCAGGTTTGCTCCTGAAGCTTCGCAGGGCGCACTGCACTCCAGTTCTCGCATTGCCCAAGTCCTTCTCGACCCCCAGCACATTGACGACCACGTCTGGCAGTGTGCAAGCCTGCCCAGGCCAGCAGAGACGCGGTGAGCTGAGGTCGCGGTGCCGAAGCAAAAGCAACGCCGCTCTACAGCAGTGAACAAACAAGGGCATGGTGACTGGACATATGTGGGAGGAAGCATGACCCGATTTCATCGCACGAAGCTGATAGCCTTAGAGCACTCTAGCAAGTCGCACCCCCTGACGACTCATGAAACATACATGCCTTGAACGCAGCAGCTGTCGAGTTAGTGCAACGGAACAGGGCCGGCTGTCTCAGGCCCTGTAAAGCCGAAGGTAGGCTGTTGAACCGACCATACATCCAAGGTGGGTCGATCTACCGCTGGCGGCGGCGAGCCCCAGAGAATGTCAAGCACTGACATCGAGATGAAGATCCTCAAGATGCAAAGGCAACTCCCAATCAGCTGTCAGTTTAAGATCAGCAAATCCATTCGATTAAACTCATCTGCGTCAGGCGAAAGCAAGAGGAAGACAGCGAGCATTTCAAGAACGAATGCCGAGCGCTGCCGCGAAGAACGATCGAACGACATCTCAGCACAGCAGCGAGTGGCACAGATGCATAGATTGGGCAGAAGTTGACCCATGACCGCAATGCAGTGAATCCCACGACATACTCGGCGAAAGCAGGGGAAATACTGACGTCCAGCTTCAGCTAGCTGCATTGACAACCGGTGGTGCTCCGTGCCATTTGTGCAGCAGTTCCGCCTTCTTTGCTCGCAGTGCTGGGAAGCAAGAAGCGAAGGCCGGCTCGAGCAGAACGCAGGTGGTGGACCTCTGAGTGAGCTTCATGCAGAAGTTGGCCCTAGTCAGCAACCCGAGCTTCAACCGCCTTCTTTCCCGTCCTAAGAAGCGGGCACTGCCCCTGAGGCGAAGAGGAACAGCAGAAGATAGATCAGGTACCTCATTGCATAGGCTGCACACGGCTGCAGTGGCTGATGTTTGCGCCTGCGCTCTGCGTGGCTTGTGGCACTTCATAAAGAAGTAGAGGATTGTCAGGAGCAGCGAGCCGAACAGAACGAAGTGAAGCCCCGAGGACTCCTCGCGCAAGCTGAAGAGAATTCGATGATAGATGCTGCATAGAGCTTACCACCGTAGGCTTTTGTAACTGCTCTCAGCGGGTGTCTATGCATCCCCCCGCCCGACTGCTCGATGCCGATGCGACTGATGCGACAGGCCTCGACTGCGACAACTTCGCTCTGCCGCTGCGCATCCTGCATGCACGACCGCAAGAGGCTGCAAGCAAACACGTCATTCCGTGCGATCACGGTCGAACAAAGAGATGGGTCTGGTTTCGGGCATTTCACGGCCATCGATAGCGAGCCTCTGCAGCAGAGCTTGAAGGCCTCCTCAGGTCCTGCTATGAGAGAGGAGGCGAGCTGGTAATGCCCATGCATGCATACGGTTAGATATGTACAGACATACCGTCATCCACACATGCACTCGCAAATGTGTATGTCAATGCGTATACGTTTGCATGTGTGTGGTCTGCACATGTGCAAGTGAGTAAGCAGATGCGTTAATCTGGTTGTAGAAAGCGTGTGCGTATGCATACGTGAAAATCTGAAGCGCATCTCTCTCTCCATTGACCAAGTTGGAACCGATCTATAGCAGAGCATGTCTTTCCAACATTTCCTTCTTGTCTCCCACGTCTGTCCTTTCCTTCATGGGACCTGCGTTGGGGGCTGGTCGGCTTCGTTTCTTGCACGGTCGTGCCTCGTTCTCTTGCCCTCAAAATATCGGCTCCTCGACGCCGTACCAAGCCCCGGCAGCCACCAAAGCAACGGCCAGGACTCCGGTGAAGGCCTTCTCCAAAGCCGTCTCGCAATGGACTTTTCAAGTGTGCCCTGCCTCGCTCAGGAGATCTCCAAACATGCTGCCTTTCCTGCAGGCAAAGCTGACAAAGCTGATGGATTGTGCTTTGCCGGTCTGCAACGAACGCCTCTTCCAGCAAGAAGCCGTGAGCTTCTTTTCTTTTTGCATCGCCAAGCTAACCTTCCGTGGGAGAAAAGGTCTCGTGGAAGCGGACTCAAGGCACAGCGGCTATCGATGTACACTACACGCCTCTCTCACACGAGAAAGCGCGGGCTCTTACAGGATGTGGTACCATGCAACCCCGCCAAGGCCCTCTAGCTCTTCGATGCCTGTCGCCCGGCCGCTTTGGAGATGCCCAGCGCCGGAATGCTGGGTTCCTTCCCCCCTAGCCTCAAATGCAAGCACTGCCAGTGATGAGTTGCAACTACTACTACGTCAGGTAGTGTCATGCAAGTACCTAAAACGTCGCTGAAACTGGCTCACCTACACACTGATGGAAACCTTCATCGTCCCGAATCTGCAGAGACACCATGCACCCACTTGCTGCAAGCATGGTGCCCTGCGCTGAGGCCCATAGTCATCGCTGAGGTTCGCATGGTCACAATTAGCAGCTTTGCTCCTGCGAAGAGGCTGAGGAGGATGCCAGGGGACAATCAACGGCAAGAACGCCTGTATTCTCTATGCAAAATGTCACTGAAACTGTGTGGATCGGAGTATTTCGTGGGAAGGTGCTACATCGAGGCAATGCTTCACACATGGACCTGGGTAACTTCCCTGCAGAAGATGCGACTCGTAAGCATGGGCTTGACTCCTGCAGCTTGTGCCCGCTGAGCTTTCTGAGCGAAAGTGCAGTTCCTTGGCACAGAAACGCCCTCAATGACCAGAACCACTCACCGGGATGGCAGAAGAGATTCACGCTCATGGCTCTCAGGTAGAAAAATTGACATTGCTTGTGACGCTCCCGATTGACTCTGATTTTCTGGCGCAGGCAGTGGGTCTGTCTGTTGCTCTCTGGGACATGTTCACGGCACGGGAGTCACCTCCTGGATGATACCGCGCATGAGCCACGCGCTTCGAGTCGCCGTTTCTAGTTCCGCGGGCTCGGGTTGCTCCAGAACCTGCTGTGCGGGATTGCTTCGGTGCGGCGGAGGCGAACAGCGACCAGGGCTTTGGGCTTTGCATTCCGAATTTCGAGCCCCCGGTCTGGAGAAATGATCTTCGCGAGGGATCGCGTATGACCAGCCCAGAGAATGCGGCGGTACAGATCGAGGACCCGTAGAGAACAGCAGCTCGGCAGCATGAATAAATTCTGCCGTCCTTCTACTCGACCTGCAAGGTTGCACTTCGAACCACACAGTATGTGCAGGGCACCAGCATCAAATGAAAAAGCCCGTGACCCCAGTGGCCAAGCTTCTCGTTCCTTGTCCAGAAGTATCCTCCCAACCCATACGAAGCCATGACACCGCCATAGCTTGAGAAATCTCCTCTCCAAAGCATCGCAGAAGTGTAAAGCAGTATACATGCAATAACACGGTAGGAGTCGGCTTTGCTTCCCGGGATGGAATGTAGCCGCCGGTACAGAAGCAGCAACATGCAGCAGCTGTTTGTAGCAAAGGATAGCACCGGTAAATACCACAACCCAGGCGATACTGCGCAGCAGTAGGTAAACATACAAACGTGAATCAAACACATGTCCGCCGTACGAAAAGGGCTTTTCAGGTGGTCCCAGCGTGGGTCAGTGGTGTAATATGCGCACTGGCAGTGGTAACTTGCTGAAGCAAGGCAGTGCACAACCGTAGCTGCTGTCATCATTTTGAGGGGCAGCTGTTTCGCGAAGTCCACAGCCATGAGCAAGTAAAGGCTAGGAACAACCATACTTCCTGCGCTGAAGAGCTCCTGCCAGAAGTGACCCTCTCGGTAGTCTTGACAACGCGGGGGGTCTCCGCGGATCTCACGGGACGCTCGTAGGTTCATGCCGGAACACTTTTCCGCCGGGACCTAGAGAGCAAGCAGCAGAATTGAGCCCACTGAGGTACAGCACAGACACTTCACTTCGACAGAGGCTGTGCTCAGTTCGAAATGCAGGAAAATCCAATCCTTTTGTTGGATGCCACGACTGTCTGGGTGAGACACCGAGAAACCCGGTAAAAGCTTGGCATTGGTGGGGTGGTAAGCCCCCATCTCTCTCGGACCCAAGACTTTGTCAGCTTTGCTGCAAGCCGCTTTAAACAACTTTGCTACCTAGCCATGGATTGCACCATGGTAGCGGAGTCGGTACGAAACGAAGGAAAGGAAGATAATACCGAGAGCGCTGGAGATTCCAATGATGAACCACCTCATCGCGACGGGACTGCGTCATGCTCACGAATCAGCGTCATGTGACATTCACTCTTGATGACCGGGTGCTGAGGCTCGGACTTGACCGTCAACTTTGACTTGGGGCTCTCGGCGACTGCATCGGTGGCCTGGCAAGGCGAGCTGGCAACCGGAACTTCAGTGGACCGGTGAAGATGCGGTCGTCTTGGCTCCTTCACAACCTTCTGTTCCTGTCACGTCTTGAAGTGTCGCTTCACAGAATGGATCCCCCTTCCAGTAGAAAAATCCGCTTGAACTGCTTGGACTCGGCTTCGTTTAGAACTTAGGCAAGGACTGGGCAAGAGGTAGACAAGCAGTAGTGACTGAGTAGTGGATGTCCTAAGCGTCTGGTTCCGTGAGAGTCTGAAACGGTGATGATCGGAAGGTCTGCATTCCTGAATAGTCTTGACGGAAGCCCCTAGTCACCTAGTCGGCTGGAACGACGGAATGCACTTGGCCTCTCCGACCTGTTGCAACCCCAACGGGGCCTTGAAAGGCGACTCCATGTCAACAGGGGGCGCCGGGGCCAAGGGCAACGATACCCGGGCCTCAGCCAGAATGAGCTCAAGATATCCATGGCACGAATCTGTTTCCCCTGGTGCTTGCCATCGCAGAGCCCTACGTTGTGTTCCTGAGTCGACAGAAGCGGCAGTTCTATCACCAACTACCCGGCCTCGCTGCAGCCGCCGTTCCCCTGACCAAAGGCAAACTGCTGCACCAGTCAACTGCACTCTCCTGGTGCCCGGGTTCAGGATACCGTACGATGGTGAATTGGGGAGACGATATTACTGGGCAGCGAGGAAGGCCGGCCTCACAAAAGACATCCGCAAACTCCCGGTGCAGCAGCGCCAAGTGAGTGCCTCGGCGATGTGAGTTTTTGTGCTTGGCTTAGACAGGCTTAAACCTGTCCTCCGCTGTACCCTCGTGACATAAGTCATTGGAGCTGTGATCCCGGCGGACGTCGGAAGGGCCAGTGGCATCCAGCGAAAGGCACTCACACCAGCTGCGGCAAAGGATCGCTTAAACTGAGTCCGGGATCGTGGGGGCCGATGGATTTCGGGAAGGCTGTACGGTAGGGTCTCCGACTGACATCTGGAGTGCCTTCACGACGAAACTGAATTTCAGAAACCAACTCTAAGCAGGCAGGCCTGTCGCTGTCCGGGAATCCTCCTGAGACAACTCGATCGTTTAGGAGTGCAGTCCCACAAGCAGAGTGCTTCTTCAGAGAAGCGTCGCACACCATCTTCCCAGACAACCTGGCATGCTCTGTGTACGTCAGTGCTCAGCACGGAGCTCACTTTCTGTCGGAGGCTGCCCCCTGCCTGTGGGAAGCTAGAGTTGTGGCAGAAGATCACGTCGGACACGGCAATGGAAGGAGTGAAAGCCTTGGCCATCAAATCTGCATCTCTTAAACTATTCGGCACTCTGTGGCAGTTGCAAGTTGCAACTGATCTCTCTGCATCAGCACTGTTGACGCTCTTGCGATCAGCCACTCCTGCAGAACTTGACATAACTGGGACAGACCTCAGCTTCACGCTATGGCCGAGGAGGCACCTTTGATGCAGACATGACATCCCTTGCCTTCTCTTTAGGGGTGGATCTGCTGGCTCTCTCATTCTGCAGCTCTGTACTTTCGGGCCCCGGCCCTGCACGGCCAAACCTGAGGCAGTCCAAGGGGGTGGTTGCCGGTAGCACCTGCACCTGCACCGCCTGCACCTCTGCCTCTCCTTGCCGCCTCGGAGCGCGCGAGGCCAGTGCAGAGGCAGGCACCGAGAAGCTCCCCGCAGGGCTTCCAAAAGCTGGCAGCCTCACGCTCTCTCTTCTCAAGAACAAAATCTTGTGAGAGAATGGCTGTGCGACTGTGCCTCGGTATTGTGAGGCATCTGCTCCTGGAAGGCATAGACTTAGACTCTGCTGCAGGGATGATTGCTATCCTCTTGTCGATTGGCGGGAGTGTTTCTGTGAACTCCCACGGTCCCACGACTAGACTCGCAAGTCCAAAGTCTCAAGTCGCCCGCCCAACATCCTACCCGTCATTTCGAAAACCCATGTCGCCAAAAAGCGAAATCCGACCCGGTGAGCTCCAGGGAGTTCTTGGTGAGCTGCCGGGCAGACTGCAGGTAGTACCTGCGGCGCTTTGGGAAGGGGTATGGCAGCTCAGGACATTAGACCGACGAAGAAGGGCACAGCAGCTTGCTGCTGATGTGCTCTGGCAACTCCGGAGGCTCCTCCAAGCAACATGTCCAATTCGGCGTGTGATTCTTCTCCCGGCCCAGGCGCGTCCTCCTCCGGGTCCACCTCTACGACTTTGCTTGCAAAGTTGTCCTGGCCAGTGCATACAGCATTCAGGCGTGACAGAACAACGTAGATCAAGCTACAATCGAAGTTCGGCGGATTTTGGGGTTGGCCTGAGCTCGCTTCGTGATGCGCACATCCTTAGCATCGCAGTTTCCACAGGCGGTGCTGTTGAAGGCACGGCTCTGTGCCAGGAAAACGTGCGAAGCTTCTGGGTGCTGGGGCCCTTGAGACTTTGAGCGCCGGACGACTTTCGGGTTCTTGACGGTGCGCAAGTAGGCATTCTGCGACACAAAAGAAACATGCAGTCTTTGGACTCCGGAATCTCGTGCAACTACTCCGGAGTGAGGATGTGAAATTCATCGAAGGTGGGTCTTTTGATTTCGGTCATTAAGCGCCGGAGCCGCTCACAGGGCGAGGTCCCAAGATGGGAGCTGCCCAAGGTGGTCTGTACGGATTGGGGCAGCTGTGCTGCACATCGGCATGCTCATTTCCTCAGCTCCATGAACATGGGCGGACACACGCTCGCACTGCCCCCAACGCGTGCTGTCGAGCTTCTGTAAGTGCGGAAGCAGGACCCCTGCTCTTGAACGTTATGGCCTCGGACACTCGGCGAGTCTCGGGTGGATCGGGTTCCGAGCATGATCCTTGATGCCACGCGGCTGTAAGCATAGTTTACCGCTTGGTTGGCAGGCTTGCCCCACCAGTAGACTGTCCTTGAAGCAGTTCATGAAGGCATAGCGGCATAGCAATTAAGCATCGGGACAAGCGCCATTCCGGAAAGGCTCAGGAGATAGTCGTCATCGTGGGTTGTGTCCATTTCATGCACCACCCCACCTCAGGGTCACGAGCGAGTCACTGCAGAGACGACCGGGCTTCGAAAGCAGCGGCCTGGGTGATTGTGAAGTTGCAGCGCAGGAGACGGGCTTGTGATCCGAATCTCTGAGTATGGCCTGAAACGAACCACAGCTCTTTTTCGGGGGAGGGCTTTGAAAAAGCAGCTTCGCACTAGAGCTACTGGCACATGAAAGGATTTCGTGCACATTGGACATGATCCCGAGTCAACCCACCTTTCGTTGGGCTGCTTGTGGAAGGTCTTGGGCCAGGTTTTCCACCACCCTGGACCGCCTAATTGCCAGTATGCCTCCTTCGGTGTTAGCACAATCAGATTGACTGGCAAGCCTACGTTTTTCCCTTCAAAAAGCCCTCTTGTCCTGATTGTCGTGGTTGTGCGCAGGATAGCACACCCCATGGTTCAGGGCTGCCAAGCCCAACACCGAGTAAGCACCATCGGTGTCCTCAATTGAGTCTCCGGAAAACCATGAACAATGTCACGTGCACTCAATTGCATTCAACGACAGTGCATGAGAGGTAAATGCCGCAGCTGCAGGCCCTGCAGGCATTCTGGCTCTTTGCAGGTCAAGGGGCACATACCAGCCTTGGAAGGGTGATGAGCAAGGGAAAAGCCGAACATGCAGCTTGCACCCGGTGGAAGATGTCGTTGTTGCGGATGCTGTTGTTGCTCGTGGATAAGGTTTGGGTTGGGGTCTGTGGTTTGGGGCTGTCGGAGGCAGCAGCATGAGCATCAGCTGCGCCCTGGCGGGCCCACAAACGCAGCATCATGAGCATCATCCGGAACTGGCTTCTCCATCGATCCTTCGCTTGTAAAGTCAAGCTCTGCGATATGACAATTCGGGGTTCTTTGTGTTTGGGTGGTGATTGGACAAAGATGGGCGCGTGGTGATTGTTCTCTCAACTGTGCGGCAAGCTGCAACGTGACGAGGCGCTATACCACAGAAGCTCTGCAGCTTCAGTCTGACTTGAAGTTGTCGGCTGCACAGAAACCCTCATCGCTTCGCGTTGACAGCTTGGACTCTGAGTCTGCTCCGGCAGTGGCAGACTTATCCGGTCGCTGTCGAAAGGCAGTGAGGTTTCCGAACTCCTGCTCACGAGTTTGTGAAAGCTTCCCGACGTCTGCAAGGCAGCTTGGCGATTGGCCAGACAACTTGCGCAGTGCATACAGCACTGTTGTCTCGAGAAGTGGCAGAGAAACCAGCACAGGCTCTTGAGCCTAGCGTAAGCTAAGACCCTAGGGCCGCCTTTCAAAATTCGGCCACAGCTTAGTCTCTTCAGCTTTGCACAGTAGTTGTCTATCTCCAGTGCCGTTGCTGACACTCAGCATACCTTGAACACTTGCTGGGCAAGCTGCGCGTTGAAATATCCAGCATTTCGCATGACACAGTCCTGCAATGTGATTGCGACTTGGGCTTATTCGTATCGGTGGTGGCAAGTTCGGCTCAAGACAAGTGAACAGAGACAGAAAGAATTGTCGGAAACCCGTCATTATCCGGGACTGTCTTTTCTTGCATGTTCCATTGCAGCTTCATGTCAACGCAATCACGTCCCGTGTCCTCCCAAAACTTCCGATTGCCTACGGGACGGCCCATCTCATCCTCGTACTCCGGAGGCGCAGGCATCCCTGGGCGGCAACTGGACTCTGGGTCTGAGTTCTTCGGGCCCGGATCATGACGAGAACGGACATCTACCAAAAGCCACAATTGCGCGTCTTACAGAAACTGCGCTGCAATCCAAGAGTCCACACCACTTTCCGTAGAGCGCATCACTTTCGTTGCCTCATGCTGAAGCTCCAAAGAGAATCCGAACAAAACAGCTTGGGCCCTCGGACCCTCTGCCTGAGTGCAAGTGTAGTCGGGCCCAGGTTGGCAGCTGCACGCCAGAAAGATCTACAAGCTTCTCCATCAGCTGCTCGGATGGTGTATAGGCCGCATCGCCGAAGTTGTCGTGCGTGTCAGAGCCGCACTGCCAAAAGTCCGAGAACGGAACCGCGCTGGTCCGGTATTCCTGCTGGTGTCAATGTAACTTTGGATACATGTCATTCTCTCATCAACGGCTTCTCTGGACTGCAGAAGGAACGGCCTCAATTCGCAGGCATGCACCTCCCATTGCTTGCCGCATCTCCTTCCGAGGATGACAGGACATGGCGCGCCTGAGCCTGGGCTCAGTGTGTCCCATATTCGAGGTGCCATGGCTGCCGGCTCCTGGGCAACTGCGAGTTTGCCGTCCTCGAAGACCAAGTTTTGAATCAGAGGGACAATAGAGGACATTACCTGCCATGCACGCAACAGCTCACACCACTCGAAAGCAAAGAGGTCGATCAGAATGTCGGATGTGAATCCGTGCCCCGACGCCTCCTTCCATGGATCATCCGCCGAACTTTGCAGCGCTAGTCCTGAATCCGAAGGAGTGGCACCCAGCCTGTGGATTTACTTGACGGCTAGAGGCCCTTGAGCTACCGCTGCCCCGAAATCAAGCTCCACACTGAAGCAGAGGTGTCTGCACTCCTCGTGTCTGCAGGGCCGACAAAGCTTCTGCCGCGGCGCAGTCGTCAGAGGAAAGGGAAGCCTATGCAACCGAGCTTCACGATGTTGAGAGCACGAAGAGATTTGAACGTGAACAGCTTCGATATGCTTCGATACCTTAAACAACTATCTCGTACATGCCGGAAGCCCAAAGAATTGCCTGTGACTGATGCGGACACAGCGTGGCTTGTCACGAGCACTTCGCAGGTTGTGTAATATCTCAGACCACACTGCTTGTGGCACAACTCCCAAGAGGTTTGTGGACCGTAGCTTTGGGCTGTTTGAGTGGAAGTGCGCTTCCAATCAAAAGCAGATTTGGAACTCGAGCAAAGCAGGCCATCGCCAACGGCAGCATAAACAATACTGGGAGGACACACGCCTTAGGTATGGGCTAGATTCGCTAGATATGCACCTGTCTGTCACAGACACGGAGCTAGAGAAGCAAGGGGCCTCCGCGGCTCAAGCTCCGAAGCTACTTGTGGCAGAAAGTGACGATATGTTGCAGTTCCCTTCCCCAGGCATAGGACCTGGGCAAGAATATAGTTTGCAGGTCTATACTTGGCCGGCATAATTTCCTCGCGATGCGGAGCCTAGCGTTTGCTAAAAGGTCTATTGCTATGGACAAATGCTAGCGTTTTGACATGTGCGCCTGAAGAGTGCCGTCCTCCTCCTCGGCATGGCCGAGTAAGATTACGGCCAAGGGCAATGCGGGAAACAGCCTGAAAACCATCGCGCCGCTCGTGGACACGGAAGATTTCAGGCCGCAGACAAAAGTCGGATGCCCTTGTGCGCTGCTAGAGTGCTGCTACCTACGACGAGAGAGATGTTGGTTCGCGTGAGACAAATGCTCCGAAACAGATTCCGCCATCTTCGAACACTTTCACCGGGTGAGAGTCCCTGGATCTTGAGACCGAGCGCAGCGGCAGTCCGTCGACTTTACGCACCCATGCAGAGCTTGTGTCCTCAAAGCTGAAAGCTAGCAGCATCTTGCCTTTAGCTTGCGCACGAGGAGGAAGTGGAGATCCATCTCCTGCATACCCGCAGCATGCAAGGCTCGGGCCATGGCTTCGCGTGCGGAAAGTTAGACGCCCAAGTGCAACAGTTGCTGAGTATGTTGGAGCAGCTCGATTATTTTCGGCAGACCTTGTGTTAAGAAGAGGAACACCACCCGTGACCAAAGGCCAGAGAGCCACTTGCCAACGTGATGTAAACACGTCACAAACTACGCTTTCCGCACGGAAGCTGGCAGAAACCCTTGACCTGTGACTCTGTGGGACGATTTTGGAACGTCTACATAAAGGGACAGTGTCCCCACACTGCGCCCCGATGCCACAACCTCGACAATCTGCAGCTGCTTCGTCTGAACACGCCCGACGGCATGTAAGCTGCCTGGCCCGAAACCTCAACTCTTTCGTCGGTTTGTCAGGTCCTGCGCGTCAAGATCTTGACCATGACCTGCGGCTTTCAGGCCTCGCCCATGGCAGTATCAGTACTCTGAACGACTGAGTCACAGAAGGAATGGGCGCACAACAGGTCTGTGCAAAAACGCTCTGCAAAGGCTTTATCTAGCGACGGATGCCTGGCTCCAGGATATTTCCGACGAGATCACGCAGCATATCGTCGAGGCTCAGCACCTGCGATGCACCGACGAGATGAGCTCCCTTTTTCTGCTAAGCTGGTCCGCCGTGACTGCAAGAGCGCAGAGAACCTCTTGGATAATCAGACTGGTGTGTGAACTTCTAGTCAGCTCGCGACGCCCCTGAGCCCCCTCCTTTCGCCGTGACCCCCGCAATCTGTCTGCATTCTCGGGCACATCGCTTTGTTGAGCGCCCTCCAAGTGCTGCTGCCTGCGGCCAACACAATGAGGGCAGTTGAAAGGGCCTTCAAGCTGTGCAAATTAATGGCACAGTCGGGGGAGTAGAACCGCGAAGTGATTTCTGCCACTTGCCCCTCTTGCCGCCTGACCCCTCTCGCACCACAAGCCGACATCTTGCCTCACTTGCCTCACGAACCCCTACTTTCCCTAAACCCTACACCCTGGTCCTAGAGGCCTTTTAAGCCCTGAACCCTGAGCCCTGCACCCTAAACCTGAAGCTTTTTGGTAACAAAGCGCTTCGGACAGCTACTTTTTGCCAGCTAGCTCAAGGCGCCTTCGAGAGGAACGTTACGGTCAGCACATACAATTGATGTTCCCTACCGCACTAACACTTTACAATGAAGGCTTCCTAGGCATGCGCTCAGGCTACACATCGCAAAACGAGGAGGTATTCTCACCCGTCTTATCTACTGACGCATGCCGGCTGTCAAGACTAAAACTGTACACCAAAAACATGCAAGCGACTCTGCGGCAACTACTAGATCGCTATTCCAGGCTACTACTAGCTCGCGATTTCCATGTCAATTCACATGACTCAGCACACCTCGTCCTTAAAGGAGTCTCAGGTTTGTCACTGGTCACCTTGTTGTGTGCCCTTCTTGATCTTCTTCTCTGGGTCACTGAGGTAAACCTTGGCTTCACGCATTACCTTGAAAAGCTGATACGGCTTCATCGACTTTGTCAATGCGTCGGCGAGCTGTGTCGCCGTATCGGTCCAGCGAAGGCGATCACCATGGCCATCGTAGACCGTGTAGGTTTTGCTATCGCCTTCCCATAGCTGTTGTCTCATCGATTCTAGCTCGATGGCGAGTCGTCGATCGGTCACCTTGCTCGCTTGGCATGAATTTAAATGGTCTGTCAAGCTCCGGCAATCGGAAACCCATTCATGTCTCATGACCTTCTGAGTGGTTTCCATCCAATCCTTGAGGACCGGCAACTGGCCCCTCAACTCGCACAGAATAGCCCGTAGCCGGTCACCACTCTCGACCGCAGTCTGCATCGCATAGGTTTCGGCCTGAAGGGTGCTTCGACATACCCGGCGAATGGTTGTCGAACCATAGCCGATGATGTGCGCGTCGTGCTCATTGGTATCCACCATCTTCTCCGATGTGATGTAGTGGAATCGGCCTTGTTGGCTCCGTAGCCCTTCTTCTCCGGCATGGCTTGCATCCGAGAAGCTGACCACACACGCATCATGCCATGAGAACTTTCCCGCTGGGTAATACATTGCGATTCCCATATCCGCCTTGGCTAGATCCACCACTCGGTTGGCATCCCTCAAGTCGGCCACTGTTGCCCTCGCGCAAGCACGCTGCAAGCAGTTGACTCGGTAGCACAAATCCGGGCGCGAGTACCTTGCAACCCACGCTAACGAGCCTACTACACTGCGCAACCGTGTCACATCTTGTTCCGTTGCTGCTTCTGTGCCCTTGCGGTTCGGATCGATACTGATGTGCCGAATGGACCTTGTGTTGTCCTCCGTGTCGATGGTCACGTTGAAATCGGCATCCTGTCTAAACCTCCGGCCGCAATACCGGAAATCCGTATCCTCAATCTTCCCCATGTCAAACCTGGCCATGATCTTGTCCATGATCTCTTCTCCTTCTTGCGTCGCACACCAAAGCAGGTCATCTACATGGGTTCCCAGCAGCACTGCAGGAAGGCCGTCAGATCCTAGCACGTAGTACAATCCAGTTGCAATCTTGCTCACCTTGAGTCCTTCCTCACATGACACATTGCACAGACGTGTGTAGAACCCTCTGCCAGCATCCATTGTGCCGTACACCGGCAACCTACACAGCAACATAGCTTCTGGCGGCACACCTGGCAATCCTCCTCGCGGCTGCCTCATGATGATTACTCTTTCCAGCGGTTCTGACTGAAAGTATGCCGAAGAGATATCCCCGCACCTGAGCTTTATCTTGCGGCAAGCTGCGTAACTTGCGATCAGACAATGGGTTTCTGCGTCCACCGTGGGCGCATCACACCTTAGCTCATTTCGGGAGACGTTCTCGTAGTTCCCGCACGAAACCAGTCTGCTCCTGTACCTTGGCTGGTAGTCGCTCCGACCTTTCTTGAACTCGTTCTTGTCGACATCCACCCACTGGCTTGGGATCGGGATGTGTCCTTCTCGAAGTAGGCCTTCTAGCATTGGTCCCATAATGGGAACTGCTGCATTGTACTGTTTGTACTTTTCCCATTCTTGTCCTCGGGCCTCGTGAATCCCTTGGGCTGTTTTCTCATCCACTCTGTTGATGTCAAGCTTCTTCGGCTTCTTACCATTCACTGCTTCACCGAACGGTTCATTCTTGGGTAGGATTCTGTCACTCAAGAATGCCTGATACTCCGCTGACTCCACTGGCGCCTGAGGTAATGAAGATAATTCCGCCTCAGTATCAGCATACTTGAACAATGTGAATCCCGTCCACGGTCCATCTGAATTCTCATCTGCTTCGCGAACCATTCCCCACTCATCGGTAACATGATCTGTTCTTCCACCTGAAAAGGTTTTGTGTGTTACCCTTGTGTGACTCACCCGACTAATATCACCTGGGAAATCATCGGCACTTGGGGTGTAGAGGCCTGTTCTGGGCTTCATGTGCACCCTGAAGAAGAATCCCGTAGCCACACGCCAATGATCCTCAGTCGTACCTCGGGTCATCAATGATTCCATGGGAAGATCGCGCTCTTGCGTCACTGACTCCTCTGTCTGAGTATCCACAACCTTGACGTCGCCCTGATGATGTTCTCCCTGTGAACAATCGGCTGTCATGTACAAACTCCCTGTTGCTCTGGCTAATGCTTTCAATGGTTCCACATTAAACCCTCGATCAGCGAGGTCCTTGTGCTGTTGCTTTGTCAATTTAGGAAAACCTCGACTGGCGTATGCTGAAATAGACCATCTCTCACCTTCAAAAGGAAGTGTAGCATGCGCCTGATCAGGTCCGAATGTCACGACCCTGTGCTTGCACTCTAGGATTCTCCCATCCTGACCTTCATAATCCATGCGCTTGGATTGGCCTCCAGGGTCTTGAACCCATAACTGTCCTCCTTCATGAGGTCCTAAGCTGGTGAGTTGATTCACTGATCCTGGCATGTTGTGGTTGTCCGTGTGCTTCGGGGTCTCTGCGTTCAAATGAATTGCGAAGCTGGACCACCCCTCCGTAGCTCCACGTGCACGCAGGTACTCGTTCACATACAGAACAAGCCATGGGTGCTCCAACGTTGCTCTTGTCACCCCTGAAAACGGACCATGCGCGTAAACTCCAAAGCTCATGCACTCACCGTTCTGATTGATGTCTCGCTTCCTCGTCTTCGGGAACTGACATGCTCTCAACACCTGCAAGCATGTTCTCGGAGTGTAATCTTCATGTTCCAAGGCCTGTTTGGCTAGCCTTTCGCACTCCGTCATTGTTTCTCCATCTGCATGATGTGCTTCATGCACGGTGTTGTTCTGCTCAGCTTGATGTTCCGGGATTGTGCCCGTCTTATCTATTGCTGTGTTCCCTTGTCCTTCGCTCTCATCACTGGACTCTGAACTTGAGCTGCTTTCGCTGCTGCTTGGAATGGGAATGTCCTTGGACGCTGCTCCCTCTTGTTTCCGCTTCTTCGTGTCAGGCTGCTTAGCTGCTTTTGCTGGTTCTGTCTTTTGACGCTTGTCAATGTATGCTTTCTTGCCTCTGGGTCCCTCTGTCAACTCTGTAGGCAGCAACGGGATCCCCTGTAGCATGCAATGAGACATGACTTCTTCTTCGGTAGCTGGGCGTAGGGCATGAACTGAGCACAATACCGGCACTCCACCGTGTATAACCCAAATCGACTCTGACCCTTCCTTACCGATCACTCTTGATGCGCTGCTCCACTTCGTTCCACCAGCCTGGGCATCCCGCCGATACACGACATAATCACCTGGCTGGTAATCCTCCTTGATCGGAGCTGCGTTCCGGGTCAATGCCTTTTGGACTCTGCGACTGCAATCCAAATGAATCATGGCCTTCTTCGCAGCCATTCTTGCCTGATGCCGTGATGCGAACTCGCTGCTCCCATCGTGCTTTGATTCCATTGCACCTAAGTCCAGCCATCCGTGCTCATCGGTCATCGCTCCTGGATCCCTTGGGTTTCGACCTGTAACCCACTGCATCGGACTGTACCCAGAAGTATTCATCATTGCATTCTTGACTCCGATGACTTCTTGAACCACTGCTCGGATCTCTGAAACCCCTGTGGTACCCACTTCATGCACTACCTTTCTCACCACGGCTTTCGCAAGCCCTCCGTGCCTTTCTACTTTCCCAATCATCCATGGGGCCTCGGTCGCGGCGTACCTTATGTCAACTCCTTTCTCTGATGCCCACTTGTTGAATATGCCCCGATTGTGGGTGCCACGGTCTGCCATGAGCACTCTTGGCAACCCTAGCCAAGTTACCCATCTTTGGACTGCTTCCAAACAAGACTCTGCGCTTGGTGGTCCTGCGTGCTCGCCTACCGGTCGAAGCACTTCAAGCTGCTGAAATCCTGATGCCATGTCGACCAAGTTGACGCACTGATACTTCTGCTTCCCCGAATCGGAAATTTCAAGAACGTCAATCCCCAGAACATCTCCCACTCGATACTCTCCGTGTCCCAAACCTACGGGATGAGGCCTCGGCTTCCCTGATGTTTTGATGCACGAATCACACTTCGCTAACTTGGCTGCCTCGATGAACTCCTTCGATGCACCTCCGGCCTTGAGTATCGCCA